TATACACAATACATCATGATGTTATAAAGCAGTGGTTCTGAGCAGGATATTTTTATTATAATTAAAGAATATGACAGTAGTTGGATTGTCATTATGCAGCTTTTATTTGTAATTGGTAAGCTTACGGTGGAGGGTGGGGTCATATTAAACTAGAAATAAAGTATGTAAAAAGTATTGGTATCAGTATTGGTAATACCAGCCTGGGTATTACTTGGTATTGGATCATTTAGGAACTAAGTGGCATCGGACATCACTGGCATAAATGTGTTGGTTGCCTTCGTGAGACAATCAGCTGATTATTATTGGAAATAAAACGGTACAGCATGGAAGTTCAGATCACTTCACTGCTAACAGCATTATGATAACAAGACTGTGTGGAGAGGAGCCTTGATCCTCACTTGACAATGCCTTTGTAAACTTCATGCATTATGTGGTTTATAATGGACTGTGTTGCTGAAACAGTGAGCTTACTTTTTCCAGTTATCTGTCAGTGGTCATACTTGTAGTAGATGAAATGTTAGTCAAGATGAGCCAACCCTCCCAAAGTGTAACAAAATTCATGATAACAGTACAGTAAAATAAATTACCACATAATGTAGCAATTCATTTATTGTTGTTGCTGTTGTTTGATGAACAATTAACAATAACATTCGCAAAATCACTGAATGGATTTACTGAATAATTAAGTAAAATATAATTTCTTAATATATCTATCTAAAGAAACCTCATTTGTTGACTCTGTTGTCTTGTTTTGGCCACTGTAGCTATCTTACGTGCTTGGATAGGGGAGGGGGGAGTTGAGTGAGGAGGGTTTTTTTGCAATTCATTACAATTCGCAACCCTCACCACTACATGTCACTGAAACACACTTAACCTTTAAGCGATCAGTGCAAAAAATTCAAATCAAGAATGTAATATGTTGATAATTATACATATATGTTATTAGGCAATGGCTGCTAATACCCAAATCCACACTGCAGCTCCTGCACATCATCTTTGTTATGTTTAATGTACTTATTGTATTGTTCTATCTCCATTGATTCCTCCTTTGTATTTCTCCCTTCTTCTCTGTGCCATCTTTTTGTGTCTATTCCTTTCTGTCATTACCATACATTGATTTGAAAGGCTTAATTTAAACAGGACTGTGTGGCCATCTCAGACTCTTTGACTCCACAGATCAATAATGAAAATGGGTTTGCATCAAACGACCCTGAAAAAATTGAGTCAAAAGAACTCAGCTGTTGAAGATAGCCCAGAACAAAGCCTTCCGTCATGTGGTTTTCACTGGCATCCTTGTTGGCTTCTCAAACCTGCATCAGTGACTTGTCCATCTAATTTGGCCTTATCATCTGATGTAATGTCAGATGATGCAGCTCTAAAGGAAAAACATAAAGTTTTACAGAATGTCATGGAAATATGATGCCTATTAGTATTTACTATGTACCACATGCTACTTATTTTGTATGATTTTCTGTTATTGTTATTCACACTTTATATTATTCCTAGATATCTATTTACAAGTTAGTTTTTCTCATCCATAAAACTCCGGCTGTGGCTCAGGATGTAGAGTGGATTGTCCACTGAACAAAAGTTTGGCAGTTTGATCCTCAAGTCTGCATGTTGAAGTGTCCTTGGCAAACCCCAAATTGCTCCTGATGGCTATGCAGCCTGCTATGGCCATGACAGTTTGTGTGAGTGAGTGAATACATTAGTCTTTGCTTCTGATGAGCAGTTGGCACCATTGCATGCCACTGCCACTGGTATGAATGCGTGTGTGAATGGGTGAATGTGAGATGTAGTGCCCAAATAAATAAATAGATCTGCAGCAGTTACGAATTAAACTTAAATGGATCCCACTTTGTACCAAAATGCATGCACAATTTGAGATTACAAAATGATTATACTGCCTCCAATCTCTTGGAAAAAGTATTCCTCACACCGTTCCTGGGGTGGTGGCAGCGGTTATTAAAATGTAATTTGCTCCATTTAAACTACATTTGAATGCATGCTTGCATCTACAGTATCTCTGTTTATTTTAAATCCTTAAAGCCTATGATTGGAATACCAGCCATTAAATCTTTAGGGATTTACACAGGAAACATTTGAGATGTTGACTTCTGCCGCTGTTTACCTCAGCGGTGTGTACTCCATCATTTCTAATAGATTGAATTCTTCAAGTCATGTAACACAGGTATGCAAAACATATGGGTATGGATATCTCTGAAGATGTATCTATTCTCTCCTTATTAAAGTTCCAGTAATTTATCATAACAACATGTGTTGCCTTGCTGTCCTGACTGAAGGAAACATTGCTGACTTGCATTTCTTCAAGTCTTATTTTCAGACACTAGTGGGTGGTAGAAATTGAATACAGGAACTCCATAATGTGTGGCATCCTTTAGCCTAATTCAATTTTATTAAATTTTATTTATATAGCAACAATTTATAACAAAAGTTATCTCACTTATCTGCACTTTTCATGTAGAGTAGGTGTAGACCATACTCTTTGACCCCAACAGGACTAAAATCTATAGCTGTGTTAGCTTACCAGTGAAAGCAGGATGGATAAAAACTTCTCAAAAATTCTCACATTTCAAGTTGGGCCTGAGGATAAAAGAAGTTATAAATTTGTGTTGGCACTTGGTAGAGCTTGTTGCCACAGTGCTACTTTGTCTGTTCGCAAAGTATGATATGTGGGCGTTTGGTGTAAACTGTTTCAAGTTTAAACATTTCTCCTCTATAGTCTGAAATAGATCAGAGGTAACAGACAACTGGGTTCCATGTTACAGGTTCCATGTTTCAGGTTTACATGAAACACTCTGCACTGCAGGCTGATGCCGTGTACTTGAAATGTATGCAATAATCAATAAATTTGTATAAAATTGAGCAGCATCTTCGTTCAGCATCGTTAAGCTCATTGTTTTGGTTTTCTAGCCCCTAATACTAATTTTCAGATGCACCAGGCGGTTTTCAGTGACAAAACTCTAATAAACCCACTGTATGCTCCTCACCAAACAGCAGGTAGAAAAAGTTTGCAAGTACAACATAATGGAGCTTGTAGCAGCTACAGTAACTGGGAGAGAAGCAGACCAAAAATCAAAAGGAGAGTGAATATTACATTTTCATCCAGAGGCCACAAGCACATCCCCAAATTAATTTTCATGTTGCTCCGTGTCTTCTCTGTGTTTAAATAGGTCACCTTTATATGGTGATAATATGACAGAGTTGTGTTTATAGCTTGTTCTGCTTCACCCAGGTGGCCAAAAAACATAGTAATGCACTTTTAAAAGCATTCTGCGGATGTCTGGTAAATCAAGCTTTTGTCATGCCATAAAATACATAATGGTTGTATTTTTTTCTTTTCGTGACAAGCATTTATGTCCTGTAAAAGACATCTCTCAGAAATTCACATCCAGCTCTGTCAGAAGGAGTCGTATTTGCACATGCGTGAGTGTTTTGCTATGTGGCAGCTACATTATGGCGTTTGATGGAATTAAATTAGGAAGCTACATCAGCAGCCTCTCTGTAAAACACTATAATTGTCCATTACTGTGTCAGCCTAATGTCCCATGTCTTTGTGTATTGTTTTGCATTGTGCACTGCAGATACTGAACACATTCTGAATGTGGAGCCTCTTTAAAACATAATCCTCTGATAAAACTGTGATGTAACTTTTAAATTAAAGCTGCCGGGGAGTGATGACATTTTTCAGTCAGACAGATGATGTTTTTTTTTCATGTGTGCCGTGTGTTTTTAATGATGTAAGAGAGGTTTCGGTGGTGAATGTTTGGGCGTCATCAACATTATAGTGTGTTCAAGCAGTTGCCCATGATGAAAAAACACACATACACCAATAGAAGCGCACCTTCCAGCAGGACTAAAAAGATATATTGCTGTAATTCTACGGTCACTAATTTTGCTGCCCTGGTTATTGATCGGATGTTATAGCATCATACCCTCAGAGTCTTCCTCTCACAGATGGTCTGATCTAATGAACCAGACTAACAGATGCCACGGTGCTGCACCACACAAAGTCCTCTGAGGTTATATGGAAAACCTCATACATGTTCAATTTAATTGGCACAGAGAGTAATCTTGAGTGCACATACAATTTGATTAAACATCATATTGGGGTATATAAGCTGACATACTGTTTAGTGGAGATATATGGGGGGTTCAAGGACTTGTTGACAATGACGAGGTTAGATGAAAAGTCATGAGAAGACATTACATTTCACAAACTTCTATATTGCAGCTGGTGCATACAACAAAAACATGAAGACAAGGGAAAGAAAATAAAAGACTTCTTGAAGGCTAGATGCTGTAGTTATCTTTGTTTTTATTATCAACCGTAACATGTAAACTCTCTCTGGTTTATTCTCTTGGTTATTGCTTTATTTAGCATTGGGTTGATGATGGGCGCCATTTAAACCATCTGCGATCCATTTACAATGCTGTGTAAAATGAGATATCCAGAGTATTTTGCCTGTTTGTGTGTTGGCTGGCAGCCTGTGCCTCTCCGCTTGTCTCCTTCTCTCTGTCGGTCTGCCTTTGTCTGTCTGCTCTCCTGTGTGTCTTTACTTGTAATCTATTTCTCCATCACTCATGAGCAAGTAGCAGCCAAGATGTAAGAAGTCAACATCAAATCACGCTGTTATTAGGTACATTCATCATTTAAACTGACGGCACTTAATATTGCAACAGAGTTGCAGTCCTGACCAGAATTTAATGTCATCATCACACATTGACATGACACTAATAGCAGTTTTGGTGTGGCCACATTGATCTGCTGTATCTTCTGAAAGTTCAAAAAGCTCATTAGAATAAACATTTTCCAACAGCTGAGTAAGTTTGGTCATTGAAAGTGCAAAAGCTGGCATCCATTTTCTCTTCTTCCCCTAATTTGCTCCACGGGGAGCGTGATGTCCAGTAGAGGGCAGCATAGACAACTGAGAGTGTAAAATGGCAAACTAAATATTTCCTCTTCTCCTCACTTTCAGGGCCAAAGTGTTTCGGGGAAAGAAGGTCCTTGGAGACTACGACATCAAAGTGGAGCAGGTATCATATAGATTTTGTAAAGCTATGATGATGTAAAGCAAGTTTGTACATTTATAAAAGGCTGACAGGGCTCATAACAGAGATGAAAAGTGAACTGACACCATATTCACGTTTGATATGGAAATGCATAGGTTTTCACTGACAAGCTCAGACACTGGTGCCCTGGCACATTTTTGAATAAAAACAAAGTAACCTTTCAGGTAAGTTCTTCTTGTCTATTGCTTTATATAGCAGGTTATAGGAACTTAGAAGCCAAAGCGTAAAAATAAGTTAAAGGTGTCACTACAGAAAAGTGCACTAAAGTTGGTACAGACCTTCATGTTCATGACTTTAGTGAACCTTTGACGTTTCCTCTAGCACATTTTTGGTTTTGAGGAAAATATCTTGACATCTACTGGATACATTGTTATGAGCAACAAATATTCCAGGTCTCTGAAGGATTATTAATTAAACTTTAGTCATCCCCTGACTATATATGACTGCCATAGTCAGGTCAACATTTGGTCAATACTTTGATTTATGACCAAATACCATCAGTTTCATCTGTACCTTGTGTTTATTGCTACTAAACAAATGTTAGCAAGCTAACTGACCCCATAAATATTACGTGTTAAACATCAACATGCTAGCATTGTGCTGTGAGTATATTAGCATGCTAATGCTAGCTTTTAGCTCAAAGTAGTTGAGAGTCATTAGCAAGACTCTAGACTCTGGTATTATACAGAAAGATTTGCAAAAATGTCACCTCAGTCAGGAATTTGTTGTAGTGGTTTGCAGCCCATTCTGCCCCATAGAAACTGACAAGTAATTTTCTTAATTTTCTTTGCAAAAACTACCTTTGTGCTATGTATGTTTTACTGTGTATAAATTTATAACCACAGTTACAAAACCACCAGTACTTCAAATGTAAAATAACAACAGAATCTTGATCCTCATGAGCTGTACAGTTACATTATATGTTTTAACAGTATGTGACAGTTTGGTTTCATGTTGGTTGAACCACTTAACCAGCAAACCATTTTGCAATACTTGGTTACTGCATTTGAGATGACTGTTCTCTGGGGTTTCACAACAAACAGTTTCACACCTAATAGATGTTGACAGTTAAATTACAACCTCAAGCCTTACCACAGAAACAAAAATAGACGCCAGAGGAGACAGGAGTCGGCAGCTATGAGTCACAGAGAAATCCTCACTATGTTTGCAACCACACCAAAGACAAACACATGTGCATTTTTTTTACCAGAATAACTACTACAGTAACATTGATTTGTGTATATTCTAATAAATATAAAGTAAGATGATGCAAATAATTAACAGCTTCTAAAGCATTTGTTGTCATCTCCTGCTGCTTCTGCAAAGGGGGGGGTGTATTAAAAGAAAGAGTATTTATTACCAGTTTGATTTGCTCCCAGTACAAGTCATCACTTCATATTATAAAACACATTGATGTCTCTGGTATGTATATGTATAGAATAGATATGAAATATTACACCTTATCTTTTGCAGTAACCTTGACTATTAAAAATATAATCATCTGATATTCTGCTTGTATATGATATTCTACAGTTTCTGACCTAGGAGCCATTTACTAAATTGAAGCATATGATTGTGGAACATTTACCATTTAAAGATATTCATGTGTATTTCGTCACCTCTGTATCAAGACTTAATGTATGTATCTGATGAAACTGTCTTGTGTCCTCTTTCCATCCTCGTAGGCTGAGTTCTCAGAGGTCAACCTCGTCTCACATTCAAATGGCACCTGTAACGTGGACATGCAGGTCATCAGGGGTGGGACCAGAGTGGTCAGGTCAGTGCCACATACAGAAACACACAGACACACGCACACACACACACACATTGATTCTTCTGTGATTAAGAGAAGATCAAACTGTGTTAATTTCGGAGTCAAATCCTTCTTCCCTAATCCCAAATCCTAATTGTATACCTTTCTTTAACACTGACCAATGTCCTGACAGCAAAATGAATCACAAAATAAAAATACAAACCTAATCTCACCTTCTAACCTACCAGATGGACCTCGTCTCTTGACACTAAATCTAAGCAGAAATAACCACCTGTTCTTAGAAAAATGCCCCTGCTTTGGAATGACATTTAAACCTCACAAGCATTTTATAAGAGCAGCAAGCTCTTGATGGTGCAAACATAATTGTTTTATTCACAGAGATAAACCAAAAAAATAAGAATAATAATATTACAGAACTAACCTCAACCATTAATATTATTGATGGACATAATCCCCTTGCTATAAATATATAATAAAGCTACCTCAGAAATATACAAGAAAAATCTCTGGTTTTGGTTAATAATTTGATTTGCATTTTTAACACAATGTGACATAATGTGCCTTCATGGTGTTGAGTATTGTTGGCCACTGCCATTAACCGTTCCCCTTTCTCACATTACCATATTTATTATTTTTTTGTGTGAATTAATGTGTTGTCTGTGTGCCCCTTGAGAGACAAATAAAGTATTTTAAATTTAATTGAACATGACAACAATATCAAAAGTCCATATGGGCATAATATGAATTGTTGTACTCTCTGGACTAAATTAATAAAATGGAATCTATAATCCCAAGAAATACAAAACTACCCTGGAAATAAACCTGGGCCTTTTTAAAAAAAGCGTCCCCATTTTGGAGGTTAATATCGTGTTTTTTATCGAGGACATGCGGTCCTCACAAAGAAGAATAAGACATCAGTTTTTAGGGCCTGGCACCGTCCTTTTCATTGTGTGTGAAATAAATTGTTCTACTCTTTAAGCTAAAATACTCTGACCTACAATCCCCAAATACAACAAAGAAATACAAACCTGAGCTCAACAATGAATCTGCCCCTAAGCCCAAAACCTACGGCTAAACCCAGAGTCCTTAAAAACTTTCCCCCTTTGGGGGACATTTGGTCACAAAAAAGCATGAGAATAAACAGACTTGCATCAATTTTCAGACCCGAGCATGTTTATGCATCAATTAATGATGATATGAATACTTTTCTGTGAGATCATACAGAAAAACCTCAGCATGCTCGTGGAAATAATAAATATACTTGTTTACTGCAAGCTCGGAGCAGTGGAAAAAGCGCAGAGGCATATGACCACAATCATAACCCAGAGACTGGCATAGAATATCTGTGTATAAACATGTGAGCTTTCTGTAAACTAGACAATCACACAGACCCACTCACACACCACAGACCACACTGACACAGACACCAGTGTCCCAGCTGAAGACTGCCAGAGATTAAGCAAGACGGTAACTCCCACTGCTCACCAACCAACGAAACCAACAGGAAATGAAGTTTGCAGCCTCAGTCTGACAATATCAGCATCTCTGCCCTGTTATTATGCTTTACGAGGGGTTGGGCCACACATGCTCACACACAAACATGCAGTCAACAGCGACCGTTGCCTGAGATAGTGTAAGTTCAGGGAAATTTTGATTCATCGCAGTAGACAGAATGATTCATATTCACCTGACAATGTCACGAGGCATTATTCTTTTACAACACGTGTCATCTGAGCTCCTCATAGACCTCCAAAGTTGCATCATGGCCTCGACCTCTCCCAAACATGGACTTGGCTGTGGAGAAAATTAATGAGTCTTCAACATAATTGTCAGACTGTCTTGTAGTCTGCCTGTCTGAGTTCATTGCAGGCTGTTTAGATTGGATGTCTTTAACTATCTACATTTATCTCTGTAATTGCACGTGTCCATCAATTTCAAGTCAGAGCGGTGAGTCTGCGTGTAGCTAAGTAACCCTTACAATGAAGAAGATGTAGTCTCTGAGCATATCACTGCACAATCTTCAGCACCTCTTTTCTTAATTCTTATCTTTTTTTATTATTTTTTTTTGACTGACTGACTGACTATAACTGAAAGAATATAAGATGACAAACTGTACTATGATCCACCATTTATGAGAAATATTTACAGTATAAAACATAATTTTTTAAACGTTAGTGTAAAAGTTACATTTGGAGCCTGATCAGTCAGCAGATTGGGTGTTAAAGGAGAGTAAGAGGCTGTGAACCATCACAAGCATTATAATACATTAACTATCATACTGTATGGAAAAATCTATTCATTGTTGGTTTTGGTCTTTTCATGAGATTCGTTGACGATTAGAATATCAGCAGGCTTATCCTTTAAATGTGTTCATTTTAAGGTACTGCAGATGGACTCTTCCCACGGAACATCTAATCTCTTGCTAATCTCTTTGGTGCATGTCTGGGTTCCTGCCATGCGTTCTTCCACACACAAAAGAAATGTCCACGTCGCTAAAAAGGACAGTGAAATTTGATAAAAGGAGTTCCAGACATACAGTTTGCAGACTTATTTTTCCTTTCCACCTCTTTGACTTTGATGTCTTTCTTATTTAATTTTTTAATCTTAATTCCCCCCATGAAATAATAATAAGAAAAATAAGATGAGTTTAAATAAGATGACTTTACCAAATTGTCAAAGTTTAGGTCTGTTTTGGGCTATTTCAAATGTTTTTTTCTAGGGCTCTGGGGATGACAATGCCAGGTTGTCAGTCAGACTAATAACATTGCCAGTCTCAGTTGTATTTTCCGTTTAGTGCTAATTAGCAAATATTAGCATGCTAACATTCTAAACCAAGATGGCAAATATGGTAAACATAACACCTATTCATCAGCACCTATGTTAGCATGCTAACGTTAGCATTTGGCATGAACCACTGTTGTGCCTGAGTACAGCCTTGCAAAGCCGATAGCATGGCTGTAGACTCTTTGTCTCATTTTATATTTGTTTCAGGCCACGGGGTTAAAAATGCAAACGTGTATAATGAAAAATCCGAAGTGAAAGCTAGTTAGGATGGCTGTGGCGTTGCTGACAACACTGATTCAGGGTATTAAATTGAGAGTCATGACCATGTTGCTCTTTACAGCCTACTGTCAGTGATGAAGAGATTACAGTCACATTAATTACTGTGTCCTCCCCACCAGAGTCTTCTCTTTCTTTTTCTTGGAGTGTCTGATTAGTATTCTCGGTGCATGATGAGCTGGTGGTGGTCACACTGTGCCAGAGATCTCTCCGTCTGTCTCTTTTCTCTCACTCCTCTCTACATCTCTTTTACTCTGTATTTTTTCTCTCTCTGTGTCGTTTTTTGCCCCTCTCCCCCCTCTCTCTCTGCTTTTCCTCACATTCCTGTTACTCCTCCTGTCGCTCTCTCTCATACACACATTCAGAGACAAAGGGAAAAATAACAGGAGTCATGCCCTATCACCATCAACATTTAACTGAGCTGAACTGCACTGAATATTGTTTTTGGCCTTATCACGCTGGTCAGCTGTGGTTTTTACAGTGTTTTGCTATGGAGACTGAAACATAAAAAAATCTAACAAAACTGTTATAGATCATAAAACACCAATCTTGGAACCTATTATTATCTGCCATTTGGCATTTGTTTTCTATTTACTTGTGTAGAGTTTTGAATGCCAGATTTACTCTGCAGATTCAGTCCCCGATAACTCTACTGTTGGCCTGTGGAGGGCTGCTGACAGCCAGCTCTGCGCCACAGCAGCTTCATTTCACCAATGATGCCAATGATATGCTAATGACAACCTGGTCTCATGAGATATACAGGTGCTGGTCATATAATTAGAATATCATCAAAAAGTTTATTTATTTCTGTAATTCCATTCAAAAAGTGAAACTTGGATATTATATTCATTAATTACACACACTGATATATTTCAAATGTTTATTTAATTTAAAACTGACAACTAATGAAAATCCCAAATTCAGCATCTCCGAAAATTTGAATATTACTTAGGACCAACACAAAAAAAGGCTTTTTAGAAATGTTGGCCAACTGAAAAGTATGAACATGAAAAGTATGAGCATGTACTTGTAATACTTAGTTGGGCCTGAATTACTGCAGCAATGCGGCGTGGCATGGAGTCGATCAGCCTGTGGCACTGCTCAGGTGTTATGAGAGCCCAGGTTGCTCTGATAGTGGCCTTCAGCTATTCTGCATTGTTGGGTCTGGCGTATCGCATCTTCCTCTTCACAATACCCCATAGATTTTCTATAGGGTTAAGGTCAGGCGAGTTTGCTGGCCAATTAAGAACAGGAATACCATCGTCCTTAAACCAGGTACTGGTAGCTTTGGCACTGTGTGCAGGTGCCAAGTCCTGTTGGAAAATGAAATCTACATCTCCATAAAGGTGGTCAGCAGCAGGAAGCATGAAGTGCTCTAAAACTTCCTGGTAGACGGCTGCGTTGACCTTGGACCTCAGAAAACACAGTGGACCAACACCAGCAGATGACATGGCACCCCAAACCATCACTGACTGTGGAAACTTTACACTGGACTTCAAGCAACGTGGATTCTGTGCCTCTCCTCTCTTCCTCCAGACTCTGGGACCTTGATTTCCAAAGGAAATGCAAAATTTACTTTCATCAGAGAACATAACATTGGACCACTCAGCAGCAGTCCAGTCCTTTTCGTCTTTAGCCCAGACGAGACGCTTCTGACGCTGTGTCTTGTTCAAGAGTGGCTTGACACAAAGAATGCGACAGCTGAAACCCATGTCTCGCATACGTCTGTGCGTGGTGGTTCTTGAAGCACTGACTCCAGCTGCAGTCCACTCTTTGTGAATCTTCCTTGGTTTTGTTTCACAATCCTGATTAGAGTGTGGCACCAGGTGTCTTCAATATTGAACCTTTTCACAATATTCTAATTTTCTGAGATCATCAAAATTAAAAGGAGTGAACACTTTAAATATATCAGTCTGTGTGGAATGAATGTATACATTATACAAGTTTCACTTTTTGAATGGAATTACTGAAATAAATCAACTTTTTGATGATTCTAATTCTATGATTCTAATTATATGACCAGCACCTGTATGTACCTCTGACTACATTTTTGCAGCGCCACAATTACGTACCCTCAGGTACATTTTGCCACAGTTTTGAGAAACAAATGTCCACTGGGGGTGCTAAAGAGAAAGACTGTAATGGAACACTACGATCACATTAGAGATGGGCTGTAGTTGACTTTTTAATTTTTATTATTAAAAAACCTTAAACCTCAACTTTTATACTTTTATATAAATATACTATTTTACAGTAGTGAACATGTGTATGTACTGTCACAGCCCAGCTCTTGGACTGTAAGAAAAACAGGAGACACACAGGTAAACTAAATAACAAATTGATTTATTGATAAGAAAAATCAATGGTTTAGGGAGTGGATGGGTGAGCATGTGCTGCATGGATGTTGTGCTGTAAAAACAAAGACAAGAAACCAAACACAACATATCAAGCTTTGAGATGACGAGATCCAACCAAGACTGACTGCCACTGTGGCTTATATGCATGGGGCACACCAGGCCCAGGTGTGTCCCATGGTGCTGATTATCCTGCCAGGTCTGCAGCCCTGGAGACAGAAAGCATATGAATAGCAGTATGAACTCCTGTAGAGGGGGCCGTCACAGTACCTTAACCAAGCAAAATACGGGCATTTTTCACCGCAAAAATGCCATAACAACCTTTGTAGTCAGACAAACCACAGGAACACACTGACTGACTGATTTATTTATCTACCTGGATCCATATAAAAGTAAAAACCTGAAGGTACATAATTGTGGCGCTGCAAAAATGTAGTCAGAGGTACATATATCCCATGAGGCCAGGTTGGATAATGAGCTTCACCAGGAGGATAAAATATGTAGGAGGTTCACACTACTCCATCCCCAGGGGTTTGCAATACCACAAAACTTGGTTTAAATCTCTTACTGGATAATATTACTCAAACAGTAATACCGGGGTCAGAATCATCAATACCAGTAGTGGCAATAAGTCGTCGTTTGTCCGTTCTCTCTTGCATGACTCATTAAAGAGGTCATATTATGCTCATTTTCAGATTCAAAATCTTATTTAGGGGTTGTACCAGAACAGGTTTACATGGTTTCATTTTCAAAAAACACCATATTTTTGTCATACTGCACATTGCTGTAGCTCCTCTTTTCACTGTGTTGAAAGCTTTTGTTTTAGCTATGGAGTGATGCATCTTACCTCTACAAGATTTTTGTTGGGAGTTGCACATGCACAGTAGTTAAGGACTACTAGCCAATCAGAAGCAGAGTAGGGCGGGTCATGAGAAGCCGGTAAACAGCTGTATATGTTCCACTTACCATATTAGTAACATAGACTGGAGCGAGAGTTTCAGAGTGGTGAGTTATTAATTTGTAACAAAAGTATTTTTTATCCATAAAGTTATAACCCAGCTTTGTCTCTAAATCACAATAACAACTTTATGTCCCTTGACTGTCTGGAGGGTAGCTAGTGTTTGGAAGGGAGAGGAGAGGCAGCAGGCGGACGTCTTGCAGCACTGTGTGCTGCAGCTCAGTATTTTTCCTCTGAGGGCGTGTCGGACTAGCCGCCAGGCGAGCATTATGAAGCGCATTTTGCTGTGACATCACAGAAAACAAAAGGAAACGGCTGGACTACAAACGAGCTGTTTTCAGGCAGTTTAGAGCAGAGTTTTCTGTAGGAGATGGGAACTTGCTTTGGTTGGACTTTGGGCTTTTTCACTTTGCAAAACTCATTACATGCACAAAAAAGGTATATAACTTAATAAAGGAGAGGGAAAAAGTCAAAAAGCATAATATGACCTATTTAAAGTGTTTTCTAAACAGGTATCAATCTACTCACTCCTAAGTCACATGGTGCAAGATGTTTATCTAACATCCAGCTAACTATGAAGGACTTTATTTATTTAAAATAAATCAAACCAACTTAAGTTATCGTTCATCCCAATCTCTATCAAGCTGCTGAATTCTAATACTAAGTCTTAGTAGAGCAAAGTGCAATAAATACACCAGCACTTTTAGTAAATCTTACAGTCACTTTTTAAGATGTCATATTGTCTGTACAGTCAAATATACCTTAAGATGTCTTATGATCATTTTATGATGGTTTCTTGGTTTGTGTTATGAAGCTACAGATTGTAGCACTGTGTCCAGGAAAAGTTTCCCTTGGGGACAATAATGTGTACTCTGTTCTTTTCTATTCTAAAGACAGATTTCCCTGACATCATCCACTTTTATATACAACAACATGGGTAGTGACTGTTTATCAGAGATTTTATGTTAAGTTTTATTATCACTATAGCCACACCGCGTTATCTGCTTACTGTCTTGCTAAATAATGCATTACAAACACGAAGGGTCATCAGTGTCTTTGCTTAAGATTTACAACTCCATTTTATTAACTTGTCCCATATCTCCAGGTTTATGTCCACTCACAATGTTTAAAAACACAAGTGTACACAAAAATTCACTTTAGAAATATCTGACATCATCCAAGCTGAGGATCCAACTGAAGCAAAACTCATCTCTTGCTAAACAGTGTGGTTGCAGAAGAGAGAAAATGACCAGAGCTCACTGGTGCGGAGGGGTGCGCAGTTTTTGAAATCCTGGCTGAAACAAAGCTTTGAACACTCTTGGGGAGTGTTTCTATAATGAATTTTTTAGATGGTGCATATCACATTTTAGAACAAAACAGGAGGTGAAATAGTGACATGGTGGCAGAAAGCAGATCAGAGAAAGTTTGAACAGTTTTAAATATCTAGGTCACACTTGTTAATTCAATTTCCTCTCTGAATGATAGAATTTAAATCATAGAGTTGCAACTGATAAAGTGATGCTAGTAAAGTTATACATTATAAAGTCAAATTAATTAAATAGATGTGTCATTTTAAATGAAAATAAATCCATCGATTACCCACTTCAAGCTTTACCATCAGTTCTCTTCAAGAGGTTAGTAAATAATCCTAAACAGAGTGCTCAGTAAGAATCCTTGACAGCAGATCTATGATTGTCTTTTTTCTATGTCCAGTTTTATTAATGTGGTTAGACTGGCACATTCTCTCACTGCCACAGCATCCTCAGTGTAAAAGACAATATACTACATTGCACTTGTGGTTTTGTGGGTTTCCCTCTGTACAATGACAGTTTAATCCCTCTGTTTAATGCCATCAAATAACCAGACTCTGACCCTTTTGCCTAATACTGAGAAGTGACAGATTCTCGTAGTCTAATTTTTGACACAAGCTGTGTGGGGAAACAATGTATTAATTAATTAATTCAGTCAAACCTTTATTTAAGCCTCGAACATCATTATTTCAATCTTCTCTATTTCTTCCTTGTTCCCCCTGCTGTTTTCACACCAGGTCTTTCAGGCCTGACTTTGTCTTGGTGCGCCAGCACGCCTTCAGCATGGCCCAGAATGAGGATTTTAGGAACTTAATCATTGGTCTACAGTATGCGGGCGTCCCCTCTGTCAACACACTGGACTCCATCTACAACCTCTGTGACAAACCCTGGGCTGTAAGCGATTACAGCAAAACTAATTTACATCTGCAACAACCCACACAGAATTTCATGCACTGTACTGTACATTACATCGATATAGAAAGATGTTGTTAAAGGAGCTTGCAGCTGATTTAATTAAGATTATTTGGAAGTTTTCTCGTTCTCATATGAATTTTTGTGGCTCCAACTAACAAACACTATAGCATTGATTATTACTATATTAATAATGTGACTGTACTGCATTACGTGTTATATATACACTCATTCAGCTACCTGTGTTCAAATTTCAGTTGACCCTCTTGCTGTTTTCTCTCTTTATCTGTTCTCCTCCTTTCCACCAGTTTTCCCAGCTTGTCAACAATCGGAAGAGGTTGGGTTCAGATAAGTTCCCTCTCATTGATCAGACCTTCTACCCCAACTACAAAGACATGGTAAGATTTTACTTTATTTTTTTAATGTTTACACATTGTATATTGTCAATGTGTATTTAGTAGTTAAGCTATTTGTCTCCGGGCAGTGAAATGTTCTCTTTAAGCAGGAGACAATGTTGTTTGCCAATTTTAGATTTCTGGATATCACTGGAAAAATAAACATTCATATTTTATTTTTTTTCCCCCAAAATGCTATGCTAATGCTTATTTTCCATATTTCTGGCATAAACACAAGTGCTTAACACAAAGTCGATAATACCCATTAAAGAGTATATGCACAAGACATGATACTTTTCTGAGAATACTTTACATTTGCTGTTTAGCTTCTGCTAAAGCCCCAATTCCATAAATTCAATTCACTGTGATTGCTACGTGGTACTTTAATGTTTTTATGTTTCAAATGCCCTTAGATAAGCCTTATTGTTTTTTAACACTCAACATGTGTCGAGGTTAAAGAAACATTACAAAATTAGACTAATATAAAACAAGTTGAAAATACAATGTTATTGCATATTATACTCGGGAGAAAAGTGATTATGTTGCTTGTTTTCTTTATGCATTTTACTTACTATTTTCACTAGCGCATTTATGAGATACTGTGTAGTATAGAGGTGAAGTATAATACATATATACAGTGCCCTGTAGGCACCAGAGTCTCTCTGGCCTGTTACAGATATTCTGTAACAGTAGAAACCCTTTGCAAGCTCGGAACAATCCTCATTAAAGCATTTTCATTTTTTCATTGTTAATGTCACCTTTTGAGTTCTCACTGAAGTACTGTCTTATACTGAGTACTGAGTCTTATTTTCTAATACACTTACTGAAGAGAAGAAAAAAAGAGACCGTGTCACATGATCCCATTGAGACATTTTATATACAATCTTTTTTGGTACATGGAAATATAAAACTCTATTTAGACAGAAACAGAGACATAAATACAATCCCAAACAATTCTTTCAGTATAAAACAAATGTGAAATTGTTTGATAACTCTTCACTAGAGCCATACAGTTATTATGCATTATTATCCTATCAGTCATGAAAGTCAAAATTGAATAATTAACATCTTTCAAAATAGTATTAAAACATTTCAAATTACTGCAATGTGCAGGTTAAATTAACATTTTGTGTTGCTGAGTGTGACCTTTAATATGATGTTTAAATAGTGGCTCATGCATGAAGATAGCAAGCAATGTCGCATTTGAATCTGTATGGCTTCAGTGAAGTAGTCCAGTAACAAGACAGGGGTCAATCCAGATTTGGGACTTTTAAGAAATGTTGAGTCATTATATCAAAAAATGCCTATAAAACAACAATTAAATCACTAATTATAGCTCTTTCATGAATATCTGTTATTGCTCCTTTTGCTGGTTAATGTCTTGTGCCAAAGTTTTACTATCTTTTCTTGAACTTGAGCATTGAGAAAAATTCACTTCCTGTTTTTAGGGAGTGAATTGAACCTTGTCCTGTTACATCGTTTCCTCTAAGGAGAGGTGGCTTGGCGTCTACAGGTGGCAGTGCTGTTGTTAAAGCGCTGGATTAGATTTTTGGCACATAAAATAGTACAGCGTTCAACCAAGGAAACTAAACACACAAAACCACAAGATAACAATTCCTATGCTATAACACAAGATCAGGTTAGCCTTTAAAATGTTAATTCTTACTGAAGTACAATATTTACATTCTCAGCAATTTGAGATTATAAACTGATGATTTAGATGTACAAGAATTATGGTCATGTATAATTAAAGTGTCAGATTTTGTCAAAATATAATTAATTGTGGAATGTCTGGTTTTGCCTTGTTCTATATATACACACCACATTTTCATTCACATGGGACAGTTATTCAATAATACATAAAGGTAAAAATTCAACACCAAAATGGATGTGTCTGAGGGAGAATGGTGGCAGTGCTGCAGTCTACTTGCAAGATTTTAACGTACAGAAGATTTGTTTACAGGATGTAAAGTACACTTTTGCTATTTTTTTCCTCCTGTTATTTTACAATAAATTTCCAACTTCCTTATTCTTATTTTAGAAAATAATGCAAAATGACTATATAACCTATAGTAACATCAACAAATATGAGGTCTTCAGTATTTGTCAAGGTTATGCATTTACCATCAGAAATGAAGAAAATATTCACTCAGATGAATTATTTGCAGAGGATAGTCTGTTGATATTCTTATTCTGTGGAAAACAGCAAGTGGAATGTGTGAAAGTGAGAAAATGAGTCAGAGGAATACTGAAAGGCCCTGCAGTTTATAAAAATGATCCTAGCATTGCTGTAGCAACCACCTGAACTTTGCTAACAGAAGCCCAAAGTTGGGTTAAGCTCCCTCGAATGTAAAAAGAAAATCAGCCAATTTTCAAATCAGTTGCTACTTTGCATGCCAAATTTGATCTATATAAGCAAAAGCACAAAATGTTTCTTGGGACTTTGCAGGAGTGAAATGGAGTAAAATGAATGTCAGAATTACAGGGTCAAGGGTCAGTCATGTCCAGGAAGTCTTTCTCGGGTGGAGGTCCACCCCGGTACCAGCTACAGGTTGTGTCAGAGCGGCGGATACAGGCGTACTGCCGAGCCTGCTCCCCATTTAGGCTGTTATCCAGCAGCCAGTCAGTCCACAAGCACTCGTTTTCTCCTGTAGACGCACACGGCACTGTGTAACAGGTGTTGATCTGAGGAGAGAAGAGTTTTTGATTAATTTGTTTGCATACTCGCTCATCTGATTATTTGTTCCTGAAGTTGGCCTCCCGCTGTGTTATGAACTGGAGCTTTGTTGGGGTGAGAGTTGGAAGAAAACTGGAGTGTCTCCGCATACACCTGATGTTGTGTGTTGATCAGAAAATAAGATGACAACAACACTTTCACAAATCAACGCAAATCTTTTGTACTGAAATGGAAAGAAGATTTGAGCCTTTTTGCAATATCTGCTTTGTTCCTTGAGGCACCTCTAAGACAGATACATCAGTGGGACAAAGATAAATATGTTTGAATAGAAAATAAACAGTCCTTACTCACTCTGCATTCACAGCCCATCTGGTATCTGTAGTTGAGATTCTTCTTTTGTGACAGTGATAAGTTGTCCCAGGACTCTACTAGGTCACATTGGCCAATAGAAATTCTCCCATCACTCCACATGCTTCCTGTATAGTGACATCACAACATGGCCATTGTAAAATTCATCATCTAATCAAGTTATGTTGCTGTATTTAACAGCCTTATCGACTGTCATTAATACAAATTTGAATAACGTTATAAAAAATAGATAAATACTTATATAATAATAATAATCTAATTTTATATAGGTTGTGTAATATAACTAGGACTGTCATAAATATGGTCAATATTTTACAATGTGTAAAACACTTTCAAAATGCACATATTTGATTTCTTGCCAAGAGTTGATACGGTGGATACTAATCTCATGTATGTTCGGTTCGCTTAGCTTAGCACAAAAAAACTTGAAACATGAGGAAACAGATAGCCTGGTACTAGGTTTTTGTACAGATAAAAAAAAAAGACAAATAAGGTGTTCACTGGTAAGCTTTCGAGGTGCTATTATGCAAATGTTGTTACCTTTGGACAGCTGGTAGCAGTTTTCACCTGTTTCCAGTCTTTATGCTAGGCTAAGTGTTTTCTCATTCTTCTCATCTAAACTCTCAGCAAGAATGCAAAAATGCAAATTTCCCAAAATGTCAAACTGTTTCTTTAAATGAAAAGCCATTTGGGACAAAACATCCTGCCACTATCACTCTACTGTATAATACTACTGAAAACAACATGTATGCACCAATTTGACATTGCTTTACATAGCCCGCCTTTCATTGGACTCATTCTACTGAAAGTGTAACATAAAAACTGACCATCGTGTACTGTACCTGAGAGCAGATACCCTGCTTTATTGTTGGAGTCCAGTTTCACTCCACACAGTGAGGAGAAGACTGGAGTGTACACATACTGGATGTCCTTGGCCTTGTCAAAACCTTTGAACATCTGAACACAGAAACATACAGGGAGAAGGTTGTAGAGAGGTTCTGTCTTTAAGGAAAGGAAGATATAAGCCTTGCCTAATATAAATTAAATATGGTATACTGTATACTTTATGTGGCAGCAATGTACTGTAAAAAGGAATAAGAAGAACATATTTTATCTGTCCTAAAAATATATGCCTTACTGCCATAATCATCAAACAGGTGTGGAGAATGTAGAAATAAAACTGTAAAACAAACTATAAATGTTCCTAGCCACACTTATACATAGCCAATACTCAGATAAACCACACAACTATACACAGCAGCATAAGCAGTAAAAAATGAAGTATGTCTGCACCAGCAGCAGCTGTTACTGCTGTCCAGAGATCTCACCTTGATCATTTTGATTTCATATTGGATCATCTTCATGTAAGGTGAGGAGCTGTTGCTAGGCGACACAATCTTCTCTCCAGAGATCTTTGCTCTTATCACTGTCAAAAAAAAACAGAAACCACACGAAAGGAGGATTCAGATAAATTGAAATGCCAAATAAACGCAAGAGGCAAGAGAACAATGTGATTTACATGCCAGAGACAGTGGAAAACATTTGGAACTATGCACATGTTTTAAACTGTTAATAGATAGATAGAGAGAGAGAGAGAGAGAGTCGCTTGTCACTCGTCTTTGTCCCCACGCAGACAGTGTAGCTCTCAGTAGTGATACCGGATGTGTCCCTCCTCTCCTCTGGGAGGGAAATCAAAACCCACATGGAATAACAAGTAGCTCTCTGCTTGCACACTCCCATTAACTGACTCCACACACACACATTTATGTATATCCTGCACGCACGCTTACTCAGGCCAAACCTTGTCTGGCACAGAAGTGACTTCACATTATTTTGTCTTATACTGTAAATCAAGTACAAGGGTAAAGTAGCAGAATAATTGGTCTGTGGTTTTCAACAGGAACAGTGAAGTCATATAATTTTACAACCACTCATTTCGAGACAAAATACTCATTATACTTAAAACATTATTAATGTTGAATGTTTTAGTCACACAGACCACAACATGCAGTCATCACAGATCAAACTGTTATTACAGACTTCATTGCTACAGAACTTTTTATTTTCCTTCCATCAAACCCATAAAATGTGCACTTTTAGACATCTGCTCTACTCATTATGTTAACTGACAAATTTATTTCACTGTCAAACAACACCGCTGTAGCTCAGTCTGTCGAAATTAAGTTTAGCATTATAGCCTTCTCTCAGGTTACCTCTGAAAACGAGTCAAAACGCCCTACACAGTGAACACTTTGAACATGGCCGACACCTGCTTTAACTATGCAGCCTACTGAAAAGCAGAAGCACCGCAAAGCAATGGGAAAATGTCACTAAGTAGGAAAGAGTATGAATAGATTAAATGGTGTGTTTGTCTGCTCTAACTTGAACTGCAATTGTAAGCATGTCTGTCTAACTATAGCTATACCATTTATAGTAGTAACCTGGTATCATGTACATACATAATTGTGTGGGTTTAAAAGCCAACTTGCACATCAACACTTCTAGGCCACTACAGATTTTAAGATAACATTCGCAGCTTTCTCGTGCTTATTAGATTCAGGGATAGTTACACTACTATGTCCAAGCTAACTCGTTATCCAATCCAAAATAGCGTTATGTTCACCTCAATCTATAAAACCTTTTTCCTTATAATGTTAAAATTGAAACATACTGTTGTTAAAATATGAATAATACTGTGTAAATCTCATCTCTGTCTCTCTTGTCCAGGAATGTATGTTATGCAGCTAAACAGAGTTATGTTAGATCTGATCTTACATTTTTCTTGAATGTACACTAGGTCTGCCTGGCTCTACACTGAAATACAAGACACTTATGCAGGGCTCTCATTTTAAAAGGAATCAGTTGGAAACATTAGAAAGACACACAGGGAAGCAACGTTTGCTTAACTAGTTAGCTACACCTAATATCTGCCAGCGACTGTTGTCAATTGATAAGCCCTCCTCCTGTGTGAGAAGGTAAAGCTTGATAGGCGTAGCATCAGGGGCAATTAGAGAAGATGATTGATTTTGGAATAACATTTTTATACTGTTGCTTATGTGGATAATCAACAACATAAATGCAATATCCTTAAATATATTTATTGTTTGACCTGGTATATATATATAATATATAATAAGCTGCCAGCTGCATTAACACTGCTGCATAGCTGTAGCACTGTAACCCCTGTAGATGCAACAGAGTGGGAATTTCAAATCGGAAAGAAGAAACAGAGGCAGAAGTGGAGCAGGTGACCTTGTTATAACCATGAAAGAAAGAGAAAGCTAGGGAGGGCGGGAGAGAAAGTGTGACCCAGCATCCCTCCCAGCCTTCACCCTCTCGCACAGCTACACAAACCAACCTCTCGCTTTTGCTTTTCGCTCATCATATAACCACACCTCAGTGTGTACTGTGAAATTGGTTTGGAAAAAGACAACTTTTGTTAGTCAAACAAGCAAGAAGATAGAAAGGCAAGCTGACAAACAAATACAGACCGACAGGAAGTTGATGGAAACTTGTTTGAAGTGTTATACTTTAATCAAAATGCACTGCATCACCCACAGCGAGCTGGTCCAGGGGCGTACACTTCATAGAAAATGTCAGAAAGCACATTATGCTCGGCAGACCTTTGATATACGTCATTCTTATACTGCATTCATAGCCCGAGGCTCAAATAAAGTGCGGCAGTACATCTGAAAACATTAAACTTGCGTCCGTCAGTAGATTAAAACAGCACTGCTGTAGTTGATAAGGTGATCCAAGTGAAGAAGAAAGGGAAAATTTTCTCCTGACCTATGATATGTTACAAACAAGTAGATATACAATGTTCTATAATACTTTGCAATACACTTAATGGTGTCTGACTCCACAAGGAAACACCTGCCTGTAAACTCACGCACACACTTGCAGCTGTGACCTAAAAATCCATGCAAAGAACTAGAGCATTGAATTGGTTCGTACATAGGAGTGTGGTGGATACTTTTGGATTAATCTTCACTGTGTTCAGTTAATTTGATATTGGCATTGGTGGAGCCATAAAGAATGGTATTTCAATGTTATATGTTTACTGTAATATTATATTTGAGTGAAATGTACTTCATTAATTTAACAGCAACAGTTTGAAGTTACTTTGCAGATTCAGTTTTTACATGCTGAGCATATGCTAAACATTTCACCACCCAAAATATAAAGTAGTAAAATAGTTTGATTTAAGGCCAGACTACTATATTATACACTGAAATGCTGCTTAAAGGTCAAAGTATCAAAAATAGATAACATAATGGGTACTTTTACTTTTGATAGAAAGTTATATTTTGCTACCCATACTTTTGTTCTTCAGTTTCGCATGCCAGGACAACTTGTAATTACAGCCTATCAGTTGATATTTGAGAGTTTTGAGAAACTCTAATAACGATATACAAGCCAATATTGATTTTTTGAGAAACATGTTTGATAAGGATTTTTTGGTTATCAGTTGTGACCAAGAAATGTACTGAGCATGACCTCATACGGTTGAAAAATAAAATTATCAGTGGAGCCGCTTTTCAGTTTAAGATAAATATTGTCGCTGGTGGACAAACTCTGTAATGGAGACATTGTTAAGTATTGTTTTTACAGGCCAATGTCACATCTACTATAGAACAGTGAAATATCATTACACCCACCTCCTCGACTAAGATTACACCACTGAAAAAAGGCTATCATAACCAGTGGTTACCATATTATTGCGCTCTTTGTTCAGTTCAGCTCTTTGAGCTGCACTTCCTTTGCCAAGAAGAAACATAATATGAAAGTAGATAGAGTGCTTTGTCATATTAGCCACCCCATTTAAATCTTCCCTTATGAGCAGAATAATGGATCTATGTGGCCTATTAATGGTAAGTAATACACCAACGCATAACCGTACTCTGTGTGAGGACAAAATAGTTGGCAGTCTGAGCATTGGCTGTATATCAGTGCAACACTGAAGACAGCAGTTACTATATCCAATAAACCAAGAATAGAACAGATCAGTGGTTTTAATCATCTATAGAGAATTTTAAAAACCTGATAACCTTCCAGGCACAATAGGTTTTGGACAATAATTGTACATTTTAATTGCATTTATTGTAGACATTACATGTGATAACTGAAATAATAATTTTATTCCAAGTTTGTTGTCTCATCCTAAAATGATTGTCTTGGCCCAGATTCTCTGACATGTTTACCCCCCACCTAGACATCTTTGAACTGCGCAGGCTACCCACTCAATTCATGCTGCAGCTGTGTTATGAACAGGAATAAGGACAGGCATGCCTGCAGAGTGAAAGCTGCCTCACAGCTACATAACCAAAGAGAAATATTGCAAACTTGTACCATGAGAACTGATGTAGTAAGTAACTTCCCCCCCTCCCTGATGAATCGGCACCCTTGTCATGGTCACAAAGCTGGACTGTCAGCGGGCTTTCACACTGATATTGTTAGTATGCAGACCATTAGACCAAGCCTATAGACATGGAAATGAAGTGGGGAGAGAGAGGAAAAGAAAGAGAGAGAGAGATGGAGTAGGCTGTGTTGGCATGGCTTGGCCTCCGTCCAACACGCACACACTCACAGTCATACCCACAATCTCAAATACACAAGCATTGCCAGGGAATCGTCTAAGGTTTGTCCAGATGGGATATTACTCAGATGCACAGCTTTATTCAAGGGCCTCATCGACTCTGACAACACTGTCAGGTCAACTGAAGGCCACCACCAGCCTATGCTTAGAAAACAACCAGGACAGTATAAACACAGATGCCACCAAAGACGCACTCGGTGAGGGATTTTACTTATTTGTTATTCATGGGTCCAGAAAGTTGCATCCTTCCTGAAAGGGACCACTTCCTCTTGTACTCATACATTTAAAACGAAACACAGACCTGAACCCCAATCATACCCTGAGGAAATGGGATCCAAGTACAAAAGAACCTGTGGTTAATTGACCATTTGTGAAGCCCTGCCCCCCATTGTTTTTGCTGCTATGCTTGTCAAGTTTTCCATTCTTACACAGTACATATGCAGTTTACAATTATATGGTGGCAGATTTACCACTTGTAATCTTTAAACGGTAAACAATGAATGGGTCCTTGATTTCATACAGAGGTTTCGCAAATCTAGCTAGAAACCTTAGATTTTGCCAGCTGAACTGTTGCTAGTATATTCTATTGTTGTTAGCAAGCTAGCTAATTATCATGAGCTCCATGAGTTGGTTAAAAACTCCTTGTCTGACTGACAAATGAGAACCCTGTAAACGGATCATAAATCTGCACTTATAACATGCATGACATCATGCTAATAGAGGCAAAGCACGTTGTTTTTGTACTGCAGAGTAGAGCTAGTTCTAGTATTACATGAAGAACAGCAAGCCTATAGGGACATACATCCCTATTTGAATGTTTAGATTACAGAAAAACATACTTTGACAAGCAGCTCAAGCTATGATGGTTATAGGAAATTGTACTGTTCACATTTTCAAACCGTCTGTAACATAATGCTACTTTGCTGGGATTCCTAGAGTGTTTGCTTCCCCAAATCAGGCAAACATTACACTAAAACCAACTCCCATATGGGGAAAATACTAACCTGAAAAAAATATGTACTTAGTAAATGATGCTGCTTGGCTTTGAAAGTAATGCTATGTTAGTGTTACTACTGTAGGTAGTAAGTTAGTTAGTTAGCCAAACATGCTAACCTTTTTGCAGCTCACTTTAGAATAGAAAGACACTGTAATCTTTACACTATGCTCTTGTGTTTCTGGTTTTGGAAAGGAATAAAAAGAAAAAACACTCAAAACTCTTAGGATAACAAGCATCACCAAATCCCAATGCGTACCACTTCAACATGTGGAAACATCTACAATACTGCATCTGTTCTTTTATATTCCTTGTGCTGCTATGTTGACCTAAATTTCCCCTACAGGGGATTAATAAAGCAATGTCTTATCTCATCTTATCTTTTCGTAAAAGTCCAAAGCTTGACAGACCTCCTGTAACTAGTTACAGTTGCAAAGCTAGGATTGGACAATCACTGTTTGGGGGAGGGTTTTAGTGAATGGTCAATTGGAATCCATTTTGTCCAGTGGTTCTAACGGACACAAACTGAGAAAAAGTGGTTCAACGTGTAACTTTTGCTGATACCAGCATAGACCAGACAGTCTTGACTGAGACCTGGTTGAGGTCTGTTCCAGTCTAACTCATTGGGACTTGAAAACCTCAAATTGTTCAGTTGGAGACCGAATAATCATACTTGCAGGACTTCCATCTCAATCTTTGATGACACACTTAATATGTGAAACTCTGTCCTAAAAACATTGCCCCAAATACTCTCATTATGTTCTCATAACCCAGATCTAATTTGGCATCATGGCAGTTTTCGAAAACAGGTCTCAGCCTCCATTTCATACTGACTATATTTTCAGACACATTTTCAGAGTACTTTGAAGGAGATGACCCTCTCTAAACCTGACGGGAGATAGAGACCAATTAGAAGACAAGACTAAAATACAGTAAAAGCAGCGTCTTTGTCTACTTTGTCTTTCTGTCTGTCTCTCTCCTCTGCTGGAGTGTAACCTTTGACAGAAGCACATACTTCAGCTTTCCACAGTCTGGAGCCAAGTACTCAAAGTCAGAGCAGAGTGTTGGTTTTGGCCTGTGCTTAGACAAGAAAGGACTGGATGATGAGGGGCGTCAGACAGAGAGACGGGCAGACAGACCGACAGACAGATAGATAGAAAGTAGGCCGGGGCCAATTGGTGCGGACAGTTATTTTTTTTTTTAGGGTTTGTTTTTGTGTTATTGAGAGCAAGAAGACTCAGATATATAACTACAAAAAATAAATAGCTGGTTGCCCTGTTTTCAAATAATAATAAAAGGGCTGGTAGTGTATTAATCATGGTATATAAGAAAATGAAAGCCCAGTCAGAGAAACAACTCATGTGTGTTTAAGTATTTCTTATGAATATTGTTCATTCAACATAAAAAAAAAAACTTAATTATAACAGATATTAATCAATAATCAATCCACCAAACTAATATTTTATATAGCCTTTCTATATACTGCTCTAATACATTGAACTATTGAAGTTCTCTGCATAAATCTGATAATATGTATGAATAGAATCTGAACAAGCCAAGAACAATAAATCAACAAACTAAAAGCTCAGCATGGAAGCTCTATTGATTAGTTCTTGTCACAGTGGGTTTACACTATGGACTGAAACATTTTCCCTGTCAGAAAATGTAATTAAGTTGATCAATAAGCCAAATCGTCAATCATTTAGTTAAGAAGGACGGCCAATCCTCCCATTTTAAAATCACATACACCCCATCTGGGTCAAAATGAGTTTTTCACTACTATTAAATACAGCAGTTTTTATATTAACTTTTGTCTGAGTGAACAGAAACTGCACTGGTATCCAGTTATTAACTTACCGATCTCAGCACTGCAGAATAGCTGCTGTGGGTGTGCTGGGTGGCAGCTACATCCCTCCACAACTTCCTCCATGCCTGCACCAAGCAAAAGGAGCACCCAGAGCCCCAGACACGTTGTCCGCTCCTGGGATATGACCATGTTGACTCTGACTGCCTGTTCCACCACTCGATAAACACTCTGCAACCTCTTGTGATCCTGTTAAGTTCCGTGGGAAAGCAAATCAGGCCAGCAGTCAGCAATGGACGGATGGATAGGACAGTAAGATGAGCTCTGCTGAGCTGAAAGGCAGCTGTGGATAGAAATGTTTTCATAAATTTAAAGTACACATTCAAGCTGGAGCAAATAAGTTGAAGGGAAAGCTGCTGCCACTGCTCCCTCTTTCACTCTCTTTCTGTCTCTCTCTCTCGCCCCTCTAAGTAGACAACACATAGAGAAACTTACAATAGTTGGATTCCCTCACACTCTGGTCTTGAATGCTGAGAGGGTCGCACACAGAGAGCCTCTTATGTACTCAACAATTTAGGGACAGCCTCCTCAAACGCAGAAAAAAAACCCTACCATCCTTTGCCTCTTCTTGTCCCCTCTTTTGATGTCCTCCCTCTTCTCCCATTGGCTGCTGTAAGTGTATTGAGTGTATTAGTCATGAAAATTATGGCTGATTAATGTCTTGTTGGACAGGTTTTTGAAGCACAGATCAGAAATGACCTCTACCCACACAAACAATGGTGTTAAATCATGAATCATTTGTGCATTTTTTCCCCTAAAATTCAAGATTATTGTTGTTGTGCTTGTTTGTTTGTCAAGACAGTATTTCATGACTCATTTTGACTAATTAGGACATCTGAGCGCATGCCAATACATTTTAAAAAAAAAAGCAGCAGTAAATATAAAAGAAATAGATTTAAATGGCAGAATGAGACTCTAACATTGGAAATGCTTGTTGAAAATTATCAGAAGTTTATCACAAATAATGTAGATTGTGTTCATCTGCGAATCTGCACCAAACAGAGCACAAGCTCTGTGTCAAGTGTTCAGTAATATTATTCTAACAGATATCCTTTATCTGCATCCATTTTCATGTTTGTATTTCATATTTGTTTTATATGCCCACTGCAGAAAACATCTTTCCTTACTAGTGTATCACATTCTTTAAAGCTGCACTAATCAATATTTTTAGATTTACAATGGATCCAAAAGCTACATGTAAAAGGTGTTGCTTGTAGTAAAGAACCCACAGAGAATTATCCCCCAGGTCTGTAGTTCCAGATATTTACCTCAGGAGTTGGTCTGAGCCAAAGCAGCAAAAATGACTGGGCTAACATTCTTCAAGCGGCCAGAAACACAACCCACAATTCATACAAATGGTGCTCTGTGTCTGCGGGATGTGTAAATAGGCAACTGTAACACGTTTATCCAATCAACTTTAACATGCATGTGATAATATATGTATATAATATGGAAATACAGTATGTGATAATAATAATAATATGCTGTATTAACAGCTTTTTGCGCTGCCCCCAGGTGGCCACTAATAAATTAATGTAGATTTAAATCTTAAATTTTCACTAAAACAAGTAGAAATGTTCATTATTCCACCACTTTCTTGTGCTGATTTTGTTTTTGTAGAAATAAGGTTAGTTAGGTTGGTGAAAATTAACTTAAAATATGGCAGATACTGTAACTTCAGTACCATCTCCTGGCAGATCTACAATCTGTTTTACTGTAAAATATAACTTAAAGAATTAAAGTAAATGATTTGTTGAAATTTTCATTTTTTTGCAGTTCTAGACCACAAAGGCCCACCTACCTACATACTGTGAATGGTGACGCGGAGTCTTTCCAGCGTGTTGTCATTATGTACTGTTCATCATTAATCACCCTTTAATTAATTATTTTTATTACTTTTCAGATTACAACACCAAGCTTCCCAGTAGTGGTGAAGATCGGACACGCCCACTCTGGAATGGGAAAGGTAATGTTGATTCCTTTACAGGAATACTGCTCTCTTCATACCAGCTTCCACAAGAAAAGTTATTTTACCCATTTTACAGTTACTTTACAAACTTAAAATGTTAAATGGAGTGATTTGACCTCCTGAAAGCAGTAGTTTAGACAGTAGACAGTTTTGAAGTTTGGGAAAGAGCTGCATGTTGGACTGAAGCATTGGAAAGTGCTTTACAATCTATCTGTGTGCCAAGAGATAGTTAAATGGTTTACACTAAGTAAACCCACATATGAAACCACATCGTAGCCTGCCGTGTAATGTTTTTTTCTGACATACACTACCACTTCATTCTCCATCCTCTGTCTCCCTCTTATCTGGCTTTCCTTATCCTTTCCTCCTTTCATGACTGCAGCGCATGCTTTTCTATTCTCCCTCAGCCGACCTTCTCTCCTCTCATTGATTGACAACTGTGTTAATATTTTCTGGGTGAAATCAGATTGACGTGTTTATCCTCTTTCTACCACTCCACATCAATCCACCACACTTCATTCCCCTAGACTGCTCAATCTGATATTGTGCTATTGTCCCCCCCGCCCCCTCTCTCTCTCTCTAACTGGGCCTATTATCAGCCTGTACCTTTAGTAGAAATCCCTTTTTTTCCACTGCTGCAGTTGCTTCCCTCTGAGGGGAATATATACTGTACGGACTGTACTGTATACTACTGCAATAGTAACTTTTTAATTAAATCGGATCATGTCATTACTACAACAGTGGCTACTGCAGAGACCATTACGACATCATTGCAAATGCAAACTACAAGCCGGTTGCATCACTCAAAAACAGCAATCTTTACGTTTATATTTTTCAGTCCACTGACCCTTTGTGGATGCCAGAAGAAACAGTCTGACATGTGGGATGTACGAAAAATATTTGATTATTGCTGAGAGTTGTCTGTATAATATGTAGCTGGATCCAGCATGTGATTAGCTTAGTTTAACACATAGTCTGGAAGCAAGCAGCAAACAGCTAGCATGGCTCTTTCTGAAGGTGACAGAAATCTGTTTTGCACTTACATTTCTGTATTTTGTGTATTCCTCTGTAGGTCAAAGTGGATAATGTGAGTGACTTCCAGGACATTGCAAGTGTGGTGGCCATCACTCAGACCTACTGCACTACAGAGCCATTTGTAGATGCCAAGTACGACATCAGGGTCCAGAAAATCGGCGCTGACTACAAAGCATACATGTGTGTGTTCTTCTTCTTTAGCAGTTGGCCTTTCATATAGTGTGTGTGTGTGTGTGTGTGTGTGTGTGTGTGTTTACTGTATAATATGCACGTACTGTGTGTGTGACACATTGTTTTCTGGGCTCAGGACAGGGCAGGCGATCAGTGACATACAGTGGGGGAAATAAGTATTTGACCCCTTGCTGATTTTGCAGGTTTGCCCACTTACAAAGAATGCAACGATCTATAATTTTAATCATATGTACATTCTAACAGTGAAAGACAGAATCCCAAAGAAAATTCCAGAAAATCACATCATATGAATTTATAAAAATTGATAACCATCTGATGAGGAAAAACAAGTATTTGACCCCCTGGACAAACAGCATGTTAATATTTTGTAGAAAAGCCATTATTGGCCAGCACAGATGTCAAACGGTTTTTATAGTTGGTGACAAGGTTTGTGCACATTTCGGCAGGGATGTTGGCCCACTCCTCCCTGCAGACAGCCTCCAAATCATTCAGGTTCCGAGGTTGTCGCCTGGCAACTCGAATTTTAAGCTCCCTCCAAAGATTTTCAATTGGATTCAGGTCTGGAGACTGGCTAGGCCACTCCAGAACCTTGATGTGCTTCTTCTTCAGCCACTCTTTTGTTGTTTTGGCGGTGTGCTTAGGGTCGTTGTCGTGCTGAAACACCCATCCTCGACCCATCTTCAGCTCTCTCCCTGAGGGAAAGAGATGTTGGTCCAGAATTCCACGATACATGGCCCCGTCCATCCTCCCCTCAATACGATGGAGTTGTCCCGTCCCCTTGGCTGAAAAGCACCCCCAAAGCATGATGTTGCCACCACCATGCTTGACGGTGGTGATGGTGTTCTTTGGGTTGTACTCGGTGTTCTTTGCCCTCCAAACACGACGAGTTGCGTTGAGGCCAAAAGTTCTATTTTGGTCTCATCTGACCACATCACCTTCTTCCAGGCCTCTTCTGAGTCGTCCAGGTGGTGAATGGCGAACTTCATGCGGGCCTGTACATGTTTCTTCTTGAGCAGGGGGACCTTGCGTGCGCTGCAGGATTTCAATCCATGACGGCGTAGTGTGTTACCAACCGTTTCTTTTGTAACTGTGGTCCCAGCTGCCTTCAGTTGATTCATCAGTTCCCCCCTTGTGGTTTTGGGATGATTCCTCACCGTTCGCATGATCAGGAACACCCCACAAGGCGAGATCTTGTGTGGAGGCCCAGACCGAGGGAGGTTGGCGGTGGTGTGGTGCTTCTTCCATTTCCTGATAACTGCACCGACAGTTGATCTTTTCTCTCCACGTTGCTTTCCGATTCTCTTGTAGCCCATCCCAGCCTTGTGCAGATCAACAATCTTGTCCCTGATGTCCGTAGAAAGCTCTTTGGTCTTGCCCATGGTGCTGATGTTGGATGCTGGTTGTTTGGGTGTTGACAGGTGTCTTTTATACAGGTAACGAGGTGAGGCAGGTGTATTTGATGTAGATAATTGGTTGGGATTGGGGCTGTGTCTTAAAGAAAGACTAACTGGCTTGTAGGAGCCAGAATACTTGCTGTTTGGTAGGGGGTCATATACTTGTTTTTCCTCATCAGATGGTTATCAATTTTTATAAATTCATATGATGTGATTTTCTGGAATTTTCTTTGGGATTCTGTCTTTCACTGTTAGAATGTACATATGATTAAAATTGTAGATTGTTGCATTCTTTGTAAGTGGGCAAACCTGCAAAATCAGCAAGGGGTCAAATACTTTTTTCCCCCACTGTACATATAACAGAATAAGCCATATATATAAAGTAAACTAAGCTAGAAAACTTAAACCAAATACATTTCATTTTTACAATCATTTATAGATGTCAGAGAAAAAAAAATCCTGTGGTTATTGCAACATGGTTGTGCGTACCTCTCCACCTTTTTTTTGTGATTCATGAATAGCGCAAAAAAGGAATTCATCAGTAGCCTCAGGTAGGACCTCTTCATTTCGAGAGTTGCTGTTGTCAAAACCCTCTAATATCAAGGATCTCTGTACTATATATGATATCCAGGTGCTGTGTTACTGCAATAAGCAGTAATAACAGTAAGCTACTATGAACAAACTTTTTCATCATAATGTATTTATTCATAGTACCAGTAAGACAACGCTGCTGTCATGTGGCCAAACAGGAAAACACAAACACAGTGGCATTACCTGCTATCACGTCCAACTGGCAGGCAGTGAATAACAACTTTTACTAATGAAGTAATGAATTATACAGTATGTAATATAGTCCCTGGTCACTCTCCATCTTGAGGTGTGCATTTAGGGGTTAACCATTTCTTTTTGTCCTTCATGCTAGTTGCACAAAAAAAAAACAATGGTAATTTATCAGGATGCTAATCAGCCTGATAACCTGCCGCTGTGCATGTTACCTGAATACGCTGCCTTTTCACCTAAAGCTAGCGCTGAAATCACACCCCTTTTGCTAAAGGGTTGTCTAACTCTCTCTTGCCCGTATTTGTTATTTCTACAAGAGAAGGTTGGTGTCTGTAATCATTTAACGCACAATTTCCTCTTCTTTTCTAGGCGAACATCCATCTCTGGTAATTGGAAGAGCAACACAGGATCTGCCATGCTGGAACAAGTAGCCATGACTGACAAGTGAGCACCACTTCCACATTAGTGATGCTCAGGCTCTTGTGTTATGTCACAGTTGGTCACAATGTACTCACACTGCAGATTCATTCAGCTGAAACCCGTTCACATGGGTAAACACACAGATGTTTGGAAATCGGTTGATTGGTTTTCAGTGGACTGATGCTGCACTGGGCTTTCAGTCTTTTTCCTTGTATTGTGTCATGCACACATAGAAAGAGGAAGTTGTTTGTGTGAGTTTAGTTTGTGATTATACAGGGGGGGGGTTTGTCGAAGGGTAAGAACCTTGCCCATTTTCACATTGAGCTGCTCTGTTCATGGTTACAATCCAGAACCTTTTCCAAAGCATGTATTTTGACCTTTCACTGCAGGAGAAGCATAGGTGTAATTGATAACATTAATAATTCATACTGGCGTGGCTTTCAGAGACACTAAAATAGAAGAGAGCCACCATTAAAGTTATGTTTCTGCAATAACAGGTCAAAAGGTAAGCTGTGAAGAAGGCCTATTGTCAAATATAGGACAAGTGAGTGATATTGCTTATAGTGCCAACGTCCATATGGCGCACCGCTGAAAAAATAGCTCAAAAATGGATGCATTAATACTAATCTGACGTATATAACAGAGTACCAAAGTTGTTATTTTCCTTTTCCTTACACTGTCTGACTTGTCAAACAATTTTAGCTCAATTTGAATTCAATTCAGTCTCTTCAAACCTTACTCTGCCAATTACTAAAAACCCATATGATGAGGTAAGTCAATCTTATGAATCATTAAATTACCTTACTGCCATAATGTAAAGTCAAAAAACTTATTTTTTTAATTATTACAGAGACATTAAATATTACAAATGTGAGCTAAAAACTGTGAATCTGACCCTGTATAAAAAGTTCAATACCTGCCGTAGTACATAGTATGTAGTACAGTATCCCTTTGGTCAGTATTGATGTGTCTGTTTTTGCCATAGTTTGAATGTGTTCAGTTCTCCAGACAGAAAGTCAATGGAGCTCTTTACAGATGCCGGTGCAGCAGTCCGAGCCAGCAACAGTACCTTATGGGCTCCAGTAAACCCCGCCAAGAGCTACAGAGATTCTGTAATAGGTTAACTGTCAGGAAAATGGCCCTGAAGAGCAACATTCGCACAGACATACTGTGCTGAAGTGGTGCATAAGTCAATATAATTGATAAAACTAGTGTGCAAGAAAAACATTTTTTTTTACTAAGCTAAGCAAGATGGTGTAAGGCAGAAAACATTTCATTCACTACCAGTTGTTTTATACAAAAAATAGGAAATTAACCCAGCTCAAGTTAGGACAACTCACAACAGTGTTACACACACAGTAGTGGTAACCTATCTGATTTCCTTTTTAGTTTCCTGTAAACAGATTATGACTCTTTGTAGACCTAATCCAGCTTCCCTCTGTGACAGGTATAAGCTGTGGGTTGATACCTGCTCAGAGATCTTCGGAGGGCTGGATATCTGTGCCGTTAAAGCCATCTGTGGCAAGGATGGTAATGACTACATTACTGAGGTAAGAAAAAGACATAATGAATGGAGGGAGGAAAGGAGGGATGGATGGCAGGGGGGATGGATGGATGGAAACTCCAAAGAGATCGAACAGCTGACAAGGCACTAAACCAGCTGCCGTATTATCACTGTATTTATTGACTCCTGTCTTTTGTTTGAAAACTTACACCATCAGCCTGTGGGAGTTATATTTAGCATATTTTATACTGCTGGTATCTTAGATTGTCTGGCTGGAAATAAACTAATTGAACCTAACCTGAATACACATTACGAGTTTGATAAATAACATCTGGTGATATTTCAAGTATGGCTATTCTCCATGGGCCACCTATGTTAGTGTTTGTTGTATTTGTCTGTTTATGTATCTGTCTTTCTCAGTTAACTGCTCTGTCGTGTTGATTTCAGCCACAGTTCTTTCCCTCTTGTCTTTCGCTCTGTTTCTTTCCAGTAATTTTTCAGTATATTGGTTTCATGTTTCATAGCTTTTAGTCTGGAAGTCATGACCACAATGGTTGTGAATAACACATTAATGTAGGAATTTGCTTTGCTGTAATAATAGCTTTCCTAAAAGTGAAGTTATGTCTCGGTATGGAAAATTACTAAGTACTCTGATCCCATCAAATTTAATCTGAGGAGGCAGGTCATGGGTGGACATGCAATCTCATTGCCCAAGGTTAACATGGAGGTGGTGTGTAGTGACTGTAGGCAGGAGGAGATCCTGAGCAGTGGAGAAGAAGGACTGTTTAGGTGGGCAGAGGTTGAGAAGCAAAAACAGGCTTTGGTGAAACAATGTCATGGCTCAGACACAGAGACAGGTAAAGGATCAGACTGAAAGAGAGGTTCGTACTCTGACGAAGAGACAGGTGGACTGCATTTTTATCGCGCTTTTCTAGTCTACCACTCAAAGTACTTTAATTTTTGTCAAAATTCTGGCAGCTGACAATGAGTAGCTGGACCAAAATGCAGTGTTGGGCAGTAGCATCACTACAAGTAGCGCCATTACTAGTTTAACTACATTTCTTAGTAGCTTGGTGGTAGCGTCGCTATTTTCTGAATCAAATAGCTTTTCAGTAACGAAGCTCTTTTATTGACTGAGTAGCGCGGTAGTGTCCACACACGCTACATTTCCCCAAGCATTTCTGAAGGATCAGTAAGTGACGGCAGAAGCGCCTCCGTGGGATGGTGACATCACATACCGATCATTGGGCTAATGTCTGCGACTTTGCTGCAGGGGAATAAAGACAAGCGCAACTGAGTTTACTTTCTATTGTGATAGTTATTGTAACACCTGTTGTGAGAAGGATCAGGGTCCAGCCTGGACACCTCTTCCTCTAGTGAGGAGGAAACTTTGATATGTAGAGGCAGAAACTTGTTTCCATGAGATGAGAGATCTCTCTCTCTCTCTCTCTCTCTCTCTCTCTCTCTCGCGCCCATCAATGTTTAGGTTGTTTAGGTTGCAGTGTTGCCAGAGCACAAATTCACATCTAAACAATAAAAAATATCTAATTCATTAATAATGTGATAATTAAGTTACTTTATTCAAACAACAATGGTTCTCCGTTTGTTGCATGAGGAAATACATTTAGCTGCAATGATATGGCACTAAGTAGGAGAGTTTCTGTGTGTCTGATTTAGCTCTCTCTCTTGCACACACACACTGTTCGGAGCAGGATTTTAGTCTTTCTTCTATTGCTACTGTGGAATGAAGGTAGTTCAATAAGAACTAGGCCTATAGCCTACTGTGTGTCTGTGTGTGTGTGTGTATATATACATATACATATATATATCATACACTGATGGCATCAGGAGCAGTTAGGGGTTCAGTGTCTCAAGGACACGTAAACACTATCTGGGGGAGCCTGGGATCAAACAAGGAACCTTGATTACTAGATTTCCGCTCTAGTTCCTGAGTCCTAAAAGGTTTAGGTTCAGGCTCAGATAGAGACACGTTCAGCCAGAAGTAAAGACAGGCGAAGGCTCAGATACTGAGAGGACAAAAAAGAAACATAGAAACAGCAACAGGGGCTCTGTACTTGCAGGAAAGTGGATTTCTGGCCGACTGGATGACTGTAGAGGTGGATGACAGTGGAGACTCGGGAATGCTGGGCAGTGGAATGACTGGAGAATGACCCATGGGAACCAATGGAAATACACTTGCACAAATGATCCCTGCTGGGACTCCACAAAGGCACCTGGGAGCAAGACTGCAGAGGCTGAGAGGGCATAGGCAGGATGACTTTCAGAGGAAGGTGGAAGGCTGCCCTACAAGGATCTAAGCTGTAAAAGTAAGCAGTAAGCTCCTCAGAAGGGAGGCTCTGGAAGTAACCCGGCAAGAACTGAACGAAACTGGAAAAGAATTTGGAGACAGGATCTGGAGCAGGGACTAATTTGGCCACAGTATTGAGTTGTTGAGTGGCCAAGATTTCTGCCAGCTCAGGGAGCAACTTGACAAGCCAGGGTTTGTAGGACACAAGCTGTAGTGCTATCGAAAGAGCTGCTTCTCTCTGGACGCATTTTGGCAGTAGGTCCAGAGCAAGTCAGCCCCCTCGTGCACTGAAAAAGCTGGGTAATATTTTGTCAAAATTCTGGCAGCTGACAATGAGTAGCTGGACCAAAATGTAGCCTGTGATATTGCACATATGGTTGAAGACAGTTTGCAACGTTGCAACGGCAAAGTCAGTAAACAAACTTACAGTTGATCATGGACTGGCAGTCAAAGCAGGCAAACAAATCCAATTGTGCTGAGGCAGAACAGACGAGGAGAAGTTTAAAACACGCAGATAGCACTAGCAGGCAAAAGCTAGTAGTTGTTAAAGTAAGTTAAAGTTATTCTTAGGGAGCTTAATTTATGTAACAGGGAAGGGTAAGACAGGGCTAGCTTAGAGTCATTAGCTGACACTACAAGTGTTCACTGACCTTCCAGCTCTAGTTATTTCTCACATGTAACTGTCCCTGTTATGGAGACAACAGTTAGACTCATAAGGTAGATATCAGATAACAGAGATCAGTGTTCTCTGTGAATCTCGCAAGGTTGAGTCTTACAAGAATGTTTACAAGAACATACTGGCTGTAAAGATTACAGTACAACTCATGGATAGTAATAGATTCCTATATGACATAGCATTGGAGTCTAAACATCAGATAGATTAGTTGTTCTAGGTTTAGGCCAGTTAAAGTTAACCTCGGAGGGAAATGGTGTTGGCACTCAGTGTTTTCACATGTTGTTTTCACTGTGTCTCCTCGGCCCGGCTCAATAAACCAGGCCATGTTAAGTCCTCATCAGTCTCCGAAACTTCTTCACACGTAAACATGGATCACAAAATTTCTTCAACAGTAGTGAGCTGAGGTTTATGCAGGTAAGACAGGTTGCTGAAGCTATCAGATGACTAGCAGAAGCAGAAATCTCAAGGAGGACAATGAGTGGAGAAGTGAGGCATGACGATGTTTGGACAATCATGATTACAAAGCCCAGTAAGCATATTTCGGGATGAAGAGGGAGATGATAAAGCAGCCACAATGACACTAACACCCGGTCAATGTGGTGTCCAAGCACTCTAAGCATCAAACATCGAAGTTGCCTCACTCCAAGATTGAAATAATAAGTAGTTTGATAGAAGTTGCATTTTTAGATGCTGAAGTGGGAAAGCTGTGAAAAGCATGACTCATGGGGAGACATGTTTTTCACATCTCCACTGGAAAAGTGCTAAAACTAGAGTGGATTTTCATTTACATGGATGTTAATTTGCTCCTTAAAATACATATCTTCTATCTTGCTTAGCAGTATAATGCCACAACGATAAATAGAATAAATAGATGATTACCACATATTACACAGATGCCCTAATGTTGTGGGGACATAAATCTGTTTACACAGTCACATTTTGGAGACTCGCCATCCTTATGGAGACAAAATACCCCATAATATAATCATTAAATTGTAGGGTGAAGACTTGGTTTAAGGTTAGCGTATGGTTGGGGTTACGGTTAGGTTTAGGCAAGCAGTGATTAGGGTTAGTCTTCAGGGAATGGATGTAAGTTGTCCCCGAAGTGATGGTGTGTGTGTGCTGACAGTTTTGTTTCTTTCTCTTTCTTAATCATTTATCTTGTTTTTGCGTTGGGAGAAGAAGTCACAGTAAGCGCACAAGAGAGCTATTACCACACATGAAGTGTTAACCACTGTGCAGTTTATCCTGCTTAGTTTGTCTGTCCTAACTTTGTTATCCAGTCTGGGTAAACAACATTTCAGTCTAGTAAACTTTTCCAAAAAAAACGGCACACATTTTCTAATACACTGTCTGTCTTTGTCAAGGTCGTGGGTTCATCTATGCAGTTGATTGGTGATCACCAGGCAGAGGACCGCCAGCTCATCTCAGAGGTGGTGCTGGCTAAGATGAACCAAGCACTGGCTGCCAGATCATCTAGTATTTCCCGCTCACCTGCTCGCTCCCCTCAAGGCCAGAGGCCAACTACTGTGCAACCTCAACAGGTAGACACGTGTGTATCTGTAATGGATATAAAATAAATAGCTACAATGACACATGCTCATACAACATCTGCTTCAGAGTCTAAGGGGTGGCAGGTTCTTTAAATGAGAAATCCAAGCTGTTAATGTTGGCAGATAAATCATTTTGTTGTAGACCTTTACAGTTCACTGCTGATTCTTTGCCTAGAATCTGCTTAACCATGCTTGCTTTACTTTCCCACTCTCACTCTTTCTCTTTCTCCCTCTCTCTTTTCCTTCTTTCTCTTTCTCCCACCCCCTCACTCTCTCCCAGGGTGCTGCCCTTAAGGAAGGACTGGCAGATCCAAACAGGACCTCAGGCCAGCGCCCTCAACCTCAAGGTTGTCTGAACACTGTTCTCCATTGTAATACAAATACTGCTGCTTTAGGGCCAAAGCAAGTCTAGAAAAAACACCTCTAACTCAACCGTGGGACAGATTAGTCTCAGAAACCTTAAGAGATATTTCTGAAATGAAGTATCCATTTAACACCTTCTCTGTCAAAAAAGCACTGCCATTAGAGAAGAAAAAACCTTACCTGGAAAAGTTTACTAATATTAGTCAACTACAGTAATTTGTTATTAAACTAACCAACCAAGATTTAACCAGTTCATTAGTGAGCTTTAGAGGTGCTGGTAGGCGGACTTTGACAGGGCTAGGCTTGCTGTTTCCCTCTGTTTCCAGTCTTTGTGCTGAGCTAAGCTAACCAGCTGTAATGCCATAGCTTCATATTTACCGCACAATCGTGATAGTGGTATCAATCTTCTCATCTAATTCTTGGCAATGACTGCGTATTTCCCAAAATGATTCCTTTAAAAGTAAGAGCAGTTTGTATTTCATCTGCATTCTTATCTCTGTCCCTTGAATGTAACAGTGTCCATCATCGTTGACTCAAACTAATGCACTGGTATCATGGCTTCAGTGGGATGTTGACAGTAATAATCACTGCAGTAATCTGGGTCCAAGAAAAGAAAAGAACCTCTGCTGTCTGTTTAAGCTGCTTTGCCTCTGTTGAACTTGTGACTTTTATCACTTGAACTAACAAACCAGTGTACAGTGCTTTTAGCCATCTTGTTGAGTTTAATTGTAGCCATAGCATCTGTGTTAGTGTGGTGATGTTTGTGCTCAGGGCTGGTGTGTTAAAACTAAATGTTCCTACTAAAAGCAGTATAGAACATGGGAAAGTTATTATTATTGGTGTTGAACTGTGTGCGTGTGTGTTAGCATATTTATTCATTGTCTTGAATTCCTTTTTTCCTCATTTTGCATGGATGTGGAAAATGCCTGTACTCCATGTCGTGTTTAATATATTTGTGGTGGTTGTTTTAGGAATGCCAGCTTTTTATGTTTTACAGGAATTGTTAGAGATGAACATGTGTCCACAGTGTTTAGATGTTGAGATGTGCAAATCGGACTTCAGTTTCATTTATTTGCGGTCAGTGCGTGAAGTATAATTCATCTGCAGCTGTTAACATTGTATGATTCCGGTTTTAGACTTTCCTCCTCAATTTTCATTGTACAAGTTGGATAATGGAACAAGTCGATGGCTTTGGTGCGCTAAATTGCATTGCACAGCTTCATTCAGTGCGACAGTTACACAGGCTTCATGCTAACATCGTTTAGGCAGCATCGGCTCTGGAAAAATGAACTCACATGGGTCAACACACATTTGCATTAGGGCAAGTAGGAAAATTAAATTAGGTAATACCCCCTAAACTGGCATTTTTCATCATACAAAGCATCTGACATTAATGACATTGCCTTTCAAAGATAATAATCCTCATTGCAACACTGTTGCAAACAAAAGCTTTGGACAGTGGCAGACATGCGCTTATTTATAGATGGATGTTCTGTTGACTTTGTATGCATTCTTAAATGGAAAGTAATATCACCTCTTAAATGTGCTGCTCATGATCACTGTGCAAGATCTGGTCACCTCAGTGCCGTTTCTGTCTGAGTGCTCATTGTTTGGCTTTTGAGTCCTTCTAATCATCTCTAAATCCTGTATGTTATGGTGCAAATCAGTTTATGGTAAACAAAGTGTTTTTTCCTCCTGTCAAGCAACACAGCCACATTTGCAATATCTGAATGTTTTGTGAATAACTGCTTAGTGTTGCCTTTGGTTGTAAATTAACCTTCATTGTTCTGTGTTATAATACCTGAGACAAGACAAAGTGGCCTTATATGAATTTATTAAACCTGGATACCTGATTAATGAAACTTGTCAAAGAAAATAAACATCTTTTTCTTTCTCTGCATGATCATTCCTGATTTGCTTGGATCCAGACCATTACATTTCTGATATTTGATCTTCATACAGCATCTGACTGCAAATATTAGTTGCCTTAATCTTTCCTGATTGCGCGAACACCGAAGGCTTTACCAGTTTGTGGCTGAACTGCCTGAAAGCAGTTGCCCAAGTAAAAATACAATCTAATAACAGTCAACAAATATAATGTATAATTAAGAAGTACATAATTAATAATAATGAGAAATTTAGGGTTTGTATCCAAGCAAATTCTTATTGTGGCTCCCTTTACAAATTATGTTTGTACAAATGGTGTTTTCTTTGGTTTTTATGCTTTGTGAGTCCAAAGCAACCATTGGGATTCTTTATGGCAAACTCTGATCAAACGTAAGACTTATAGCCATTTAGCTGCCTTACAACAATGACTGTCTGAGAATGTGTGGGATGAATTTTCATGAAGTTGTTGTTGTTGTCTAGTATTATCATGTAGATAATGTCGTCAAAAATCCACAAACTGTAAATGTAAATGTTTACACTAAACATACATTTATATACTCTTCCAAACTGTCTTCAAAGAAATCTTTTTGAAGAGGCTTTAAAGGGTAATTGGTCCAGCACTGAGCGAGCGCACTGCAGTCAGCAGCAGCGAGACAGGGCTGCAACGTAAAAAAGTACATCCACTGAAGTGCTTGTTTTAGACCTTTTTTTAACGAGTAAGATCCTTTTTGTTTAGCCAGAAAGGGTTGCTATACCGATCTTGTCAAAGACACCAGACTCCCTTTACAAAAATAGTCATTTTACCTCCCTGGTCTCCTGTTGCCTCAGTCGGGTAGTCATTGTGTGACTTTGGTGCTACTCTTAAAAAAAGGTCTATCTCTGTAGGGATCCTTTCTACAATGTTGTCAGACACGTGTAATAACAATCTGAGCCTGTCAGTGGCAAAAACAAGCACTTAAGTAGACGTACTTTGACAGGGCGCAATAGCCCGAAAGGATTATGTTGCAGCCGTGTCTCACTGCTGTCGACTGCATTGTGCTCACGCAGTACTGGAAGATTTTAAAAAAAATCTTTAGTCTCTTTAGACAAAAACATGGGAAAAGAAGCTTGAAAAATACCAAAGTTACCCTTTTACTTATAGTTAACATACTCAACTATAATCCGGGATCCTGAAAAGTGTCAAAATCAGCCGTTGGAAACTCATCCCTGCCCAGACACATCCTACTTAGCATGTGTAATCACTTGTTTCTTTTGTGCTGCATGACTGGTTGCTTTGCTGCCTCCTGTGTTTGGGTCGTTGAGTTGTTTGACGCCATTACTCTTTCTTGGTTGTATCATCTCTCCTTTTGTTATTTACTTTCTTTCATTCTCATCTCCGACTCTTTCCTTTACTCTTGTTGTCTCTTTTTTAAAATCAACACATTTCCTCCTCAGGGTCACATGAGACATAAAAGCATCTAACACTTGGCATGATGGGCTTGTCACCACACCTTCTCGTAAGCGTTGATCTGCTACCCCCTGCTGGTCATTGCAGTCTAAACAGTCAGAGCCTGCTTTGCCCCCAGCCTGTTCTTGACAGATGAGTTGGTTAGGATGGTTCTTTGAATGTGAGAGGTCATCGTGTGAATTAGCATGTCCAGACTCAAGCTTATTATCTGTATCATGTTCTGCTTTAGTCTTTGGTGAGTGTTATAGGCACCTGGTTTTCTAGCTGCTGCCCTGAAACAATAGGTGCGAGATCTTAGATATAATGATGCTTATTTATTTTTTATTTGTTTCCTTTACTTCGCCTTTTGCTTTTTTGCTTTTCTTGCCATTATGCAATATATTGGCATGGATCTATAATCTAATATAACTTTTTATCTCAATCTTTTAGGTGCACCAGTGAAATCACAGAGTGTAGAGCCATCAACAGAGTCAGCTAAGAGAGCATCTGAACCAGTACCAAAGCCCAGCCAGGCCCAAAAACCTGTCCCAGGTCCAGCTCAGAAACCAGTCCAGAGGGCCGCCTCAGTTACAAAGCCTCCAGTGCCGAGGCCTCCCCCAATGACGAGAGCCCCATCCGTCACAAAGTCAGCCCCAGGTTCTGCTTCCACCCCAGCCCCAGCAAAAGCTTCACCATCATCCCCAGGTAAAGCAGCAGCAGCAGCCTCAGCAGCTCCAGGCTCTTCCCCAACCAAAGCAGCAGCAGCAGCAGCAGCCATAGCTCCAGGCTCCCCTCCATCCTCGGCTTCAACCCCAGCTCCAGCCCCAGCTCCACCCCCAGCCTCTCCCCCAGCCTCAGGTCCTACCACAGAGCAGCCCAAGCCCCAGCCTCAGAGCTCCCCATCTCCAGCTCCTGGCAAACCAAAAGAGCTGCCCCCCAAACCCACACCGCCTGCAAAGCCTATCCCTCCTGTACGCAGGAATTCAAGGCCACAGCTCCAGCCAAAGCCGCAAACCCCGCCTCCTCCCAAAGCTTCACCTAAACCCCAACCCGCTGCCCAAGTCCCAGCACCCACTCAGACCTCAGATACCGCCTCAGCCCCTGCCCCAGCACAGGTTCAGTCCCCAGCCAAAGCCAGCCACTCCCCGCTTAATGCCCAGTCTCCAGCTAAGGCTCAGCCCCAGGCCAAGCCGGCCTCTCCTTCCCTAAACCCTGAGCCTGGCCCAGATGAAGCAGCTGCGGCCCCAGATGAGGCTGCCGCGACCTCGGATGAAGCCCAGGCCCCCGTGGAAGAACAGCCAGCATCCCAGCAAAAGACCCATCCTCTGCTGAAGTAAGAGCCGTATTATTAGTGAACTGTTGCAGATACATGCACTTCAATGGGCCATACCTTGTGACAAATTAAATATCAAAAGACATTCTTCTGTAAAAAGATAATATGTGTATGTCAAATTCCAATCATTTGCAGCCTTCCTATTTAGCATTCATAAGCAGTATATAAAAATGTAATACATACTATAATGTAGTTTTAAGCAGATATATGGCAATTTTTAAAGGTTTAGAGATGTATTGGTTAACAACTTTGACTCCTCTTGTGAACCATCCAAAACTGAATGTTGGCATATAAACAGTTAAAAAAGAAAATAACGCAGTTGTTATTATATTCAATATGCGTTCATAGAAAGTTTTCATTGAAAATACTGTAAATTAATATACACTTCAGTGTCTGTATATCGGCCCTCTATATAATGATAACATGTTTAATTTTATGTTTATTTTATTATATGTTAATATACTGCTTAAATGTGGGGAGATTATTGTACAAATATTGTTATCTGTGACTTTTTGTCCCTCTTACACATTTCCCTGTTTGTCTTCCTTTTGCCTTTAACTTAACTTTTAACCTATTATCATTCACATATCCTGTGTTCTACCCTTCCTTCATTCCTCCCTGCCTCCCGTCCTTCCTCCCTCTTTGTCACCTTCTTCTCCTCCCTCTTTTTCCCCTCATCTTCCCCTCCAAGTAAGTCCCAGTCCCTGACCAATGCCTTCAACGCCTTCAGCGACTCTTCTTTCTTCCGCGGTGTCTCGAGCTCTGGAGGTGACGGCCAAGAAGAGGTGAAGGCCGAGACCATTCGCAACCTCCGAAAGTCCTTTGCCAGCCTTTTCTCTGACTAGGCACAGCCGAACCGTAGTCAGCCCCTTATTGATTCTGGCCCCCCTTTTACTACTGGCCAGTGATTGACTTGATTGACATTAAATGTGAACCAGTCTGAGATTAAACTTTGTGTGTTAACTGTTCTGTTTCCCTCTGTCCTGGTCCCTCTTCTCCTCCACTTTCAGCTTCTCTGTGTGAGTAACTGTGAGGCCTGCAGGGTATGATATTCAGTTAATAATGCTGTCCCAGAGTAATTCGACTGAAGGTGTTACGTCATTGATGAAGAATAGAATAGAATAGAATAAGAAAATGTTTATATTTCCCAGAGCACACTTTAAGGAACACTTTCTGAAGTATATAAAAAATATAATTCAAGATTATAGATGGATGTACAGTATAGACAGTATATATATACTGTGTATGTCTTATATATGTAATATATACAGTATATAAATATAAACATATATAGCTATAAAGGGAGCTAAGCCAATAATTAAAAAAAATCAGTAGCACTTTTCAATAAGCTTTTGTCAGTGGCATAACTCTTTCATTCAGTGACTAGATTCATACACGTTTCAAAAATAATCAGATACTTGACATTTGATGGTTTCCCTCACAGTGAATCTGTTTTGGTCAGTAAGTGAATTATGTGAGTAAAAGAAGAAAAAAAAAAAACTTTTACAAATTAATCATTTGTTTCTGTGTAAATCCAGCCGTTGTGTGTCTCTGGTCCTTGGCTACTGACTACTGGGCTCATCATTGCTGCCCCTTCTTTTTGTCAACAAGCCTTGAGGTTCATTGTCACGTGAGGGAGTTGGAAATATGTGAATGTTCATCTGTGTTGTCATGCATGGCTCCTTCAAGTGGCTCGGTGTGACTTTTGGAGCAGAAGGGATCTCTTGTCAGTGTTGAGTTTTGCCCTCCTTCCCTCTCTCTCTCTCTCTCTCTCTCTCTCTCTCTCTCTCTCTCTCTCTCTCTCTCTCTCGATGTTGTAGCCTTATTGTGAACATGTTTTCAATTCACAGCTACATTTGTTAGCTGTGCAGACCTGGGTCGATTACAACTTGAAATCCGTTCATTTACTTCAAGCGTCTGAATAAGTACTAACTATTGAGGCCGAGACTGATTGCACCTTTTGTTGTTTTGGGAGCTTTGGGATTGAGCATAGTGCACGAGACTGAATAAATCAGTCCTAAAAAGCAACTGAATGCATTTCAAAGAGTAAAAAGACTCATGTCTGTAGCTGTGACTGGTGATCTCTTGTTTCACCTCTGTGTAGATCTATCAACAGTATTGTACTTTGTTGATTATTCTCATTAAAAGACATTGAGACAGTAGTGCAATAACACCTCAACGTGACTGTTGAGCACTGTCACCCTATTATAAATATAAATATGACCATACATACAGGACTTGTGTATCTGTCAAATACCTTATTCTTACATTCCCTTTAAGGTTCCGTTCAGTGGCAACTTTCCAGGTTGCTTTTTTACTGTAGTCAGAAGCTGGCTCCGATGAATATGCCATATAAAACTGTTGATTTTTGTGATTATCCTGCTTGGATTGTGGAACTGAATTTAAGGCAACCTGGAATGAACACAGTACCTTGACTGGTTATTTTCAGTTGAGTTGCAGCATTTCATGTTCCTATGAGTAAAAAATAAAAAAACACTTAAGAACTGCTTACCAACCTGTTAATCCATCTCCAGTACTATGTTGCAGTAAATTATAACATATTGTATTTGTATGTATGTATGTGTCATCTCAGGAGTTTATTTTTTGTAATATATGGATTTATTTATTTATTTATTGAGGCTCCATATTAATGGTACAGTATATATTGTTTGTTTTGTAATGTGTTTTTATTTGTAACGCAATACTGCTTTGCATGATCTGGTGACTGATACTGTTTTTCTTTCCTGTACAGATAAAAGTTAATAAAGATGTGGTTCCATCATTCCACTGATTCACTAAGTAAGATACATCATGCTGATGGCTGTGCCATCAGAACAAAAGAGAAATTGCATCAATTTAACACATAAACATCTGTTTACCGGTATTCATCATTAGGGTAATTACTCAGTCTGTGGAATCAGCTGTTTACTGTCTTCTGGGGCTCTGGAGGAGCTTTGTCAAAATTAAGTCTTATGACGTCAACAGGGTTAGGCTTGAGGACTGCAACATTTTAACAGAAAGTCTGTGTTACAAACTGCATGGGTACTCACCATGCAGGGAAGATGAATGAAAAGTTGCAATGCGGGGATAAGTAGAATTCAGTGTTCTTGTGGCTTGGCCCATTCTATGGACAAAAAAGGCCAGGATATCTCGGCCTCTGCTGCTTCAGTTTTGTCATATAAAGACACAAAATGAAAGATAACTAGCTAGGGTTTTCATTATAGGTGAGGAGTACAGCTGTCTCTCCATAGGTCTCAGTCCTGGCCCAGTAGACATCTTAAAGTGTCATGAAAGGATCAGGAAGAGACATGCCGTAACTCAGAAGTATGTCTGATATGATTAATGTAGGTGGGGAGTTAAGTGCTCTCATGAATTTCAGTGAGGCTTTAACAGCTTTCTCAACCTCTCTCAAGTATCTGCCCTTTAGAAAAAAATTCAGTAATAGGCTATTATGACTAATAGAACAAAAAGGCAGTTCTGCTAATGTCTATGGTGGATACAAAATCAGGTGGACAACCATATAAAATTTACTAGTATTCGGCTTAAAGGGACTATATGTAAGTTTTTCAATGAAATTAATCAAATTTTCATTGCCTTATTGTCAATGGGCTCAAAACTCACTTAAAAATGAAGCGCATGCCTGTTTTCTCCTGTGCGCGCTCTCAAGCCTCTCGTACTACAGCGACAACACGGCAGCTAACGACATGCAGTCCACTAACACCATAAAACCACCGGCTCACAGCAAAACACAGGCTCCACGTAAGGATACAGAACAACAATAAAGGTTTATGTGCTGAAGCCCATCAGACCAAACAGGTTCAGATGATGTCATCATTAGTAAAGCTGGAGAAACACAGAGAAAGTCACGTTAGCTCGCAGGCTAACGCTGAGCAGTTGCTAATGTTATCCGGTGCAAAGTTATATAACGTTAGCTTTCCATATTACTTCACCAACTAACGCGACCCGTGTTACTATCCTGTGTGCCACTGTTGATTTAGCTTGCAGAGAGGATGTAACGGTAAAAAGCAAATGTGGAGCGATTTGTTTACTAACGTTAGCCTGTAGTGATGCAGCCAGGAGCAGCCAGCTAACGCTACAGTAGCTCGGAGTTGCTGTTTGCTTCGTAACATTCAGTTTATGTTTATTGTGGTTTTTATATACAGTCTATGGGTTTTACCAATAACGTTACTCAGGTATACAGCCTCTCCACCTCAGTCACTGTAACTAACGTGACCTACATGACATAAAACACTGCAACAAAACGGCCACAACAACCCAAGGGAAGAGCCCAGCTAGTCACACAACTGTCTTATCTGGGCTTCACAGTGTACTGGAAGAAGAGTGCTCCTCTCCCCTCCCAGAGACTCACCTACCTTGGCGTGGTACTGGACTCCTCTCTCCGGAGAACGCGGCTCTCTCAGGAGATGGTGGATGTTCTGGTAGAGCTGCTCCACCGTGTTGTCCCTCGCAGCTCTGTCGGTCATGAGGCTTCTGGGCCTCATGTTGGTGGCTCACGTGGTGGTCCCCCTGGGCCTTCTCCATATGAGGAGGCTGCAGCGCTGGTTCATCCGACCCGGTGAGACAGAGGCACCTGATCTGGCCTACTGGTGCGACCCCCTCTCTCTTCGGTCGGGGTTCCCCCGGGCAGGGTCACGTCCCATATATCGGTCTTCACAGACGCCTCCCTGATGGGCTGGGGCGGGACCTGCCTTTCTCTGGTGGTGGGCGGACTGTGGCAGGGCCGCAGGCCTCTCCATAAAAACGTGCTGGAGCTCCTCACGGTGTGGAAGGTGATCCGACATTCTCCCCTCTGCTACGGGACCAGCACGTGCTGGTCCACACCGACTACAGGGCCGCGGCAGCCTACATAAACCGCCAGGGCGGGGTGCGCTCGGCGCAGCTGTTGGGTCTGGCCAGGCGGCTGCTCCTGTGGGCACACACTCACCTGCTCTCCATCAGAGCAGAATACAGGTGCTGGTCATATAATTAGAATATCATCAAAAAGTTGATTTATTTCAGTAATTCCATTCAAAAAGTGAAACTTGTATAATGTATACATTCATTCCACACAGACTGATATATTTCAAGTGTTCATTCCTTTTAATTTTGATGATTATAACTGACAACTAATGAAAACCCCAAAATCAGTATCTCAGAAAATTGGAATATTGTGAAAAGGTTCAATATTGAAGACACCTCGTGTCACACTCATTAATCAGCTAATTAACTCAAAACACCTGCAAAGGCCTTTAAATGGTCTCTCAGTCTAGTTTTGTAGGCTGCACAATCATGGGGAAGACTGCTGACTTGACAGCTGTCCAAAAGACGACCATTGAAACCTTGCACAAGGAGGGCAAGAAACAAAAGGTCATTGCTAAAGAGGCTGGCTGTTCACAGAGCTCTGTGTCCAAGCACATTAATAGAGAGGCGAAAGGAAGGAAAAGATGTGGTACAAAAAGGTGTACAAGCAATAGGGATAACCGCACCCTGGAGAGGATTGTGAAACAAAACCCATTCAAAAATGTGGGGGATATTCACAAAGAGTGGACTGCAGCTGGAGTCAGTGCTTCAACAACCACCATGCACAGACGTATGCAAGACATGGGTTTCAGCTGTCGCATTCCTTGTGTCAAGCCACTCTTGAACAAGACACAGCTAAAGACAAAAAGGACTGGACTGCTGCTGAGTGGTCCAAAGTTATGTTCTCTGATGAAAGTAAATTTTGCATTTCCTTTGGAAATCAAGGCCCCAGAGTCTGGAGGAAGAGAGGAGAGGCACAGAATCCACGTTAAATCAACTTTTTGATGATAATCTAATTATACGACCAGCACGTGCACATCCCTGGCACGTCCTGGTTTCCCTGTCTCCAGCAGTTGCTGGCGGGGCAGCCTTGGAAACTCCCCTTGAGGGGGGACGCTCTCTCTCAGGCGGTGGGTGCCATCAGGAGTTACCCGCTCCTCGGCCGGCCTCTCTGGGTCTGGCCGCTGAGAGGCGACACCTGGAGGGCTTAGGTCTCTCCCGGGAGGTGATTCGCACCATCCAGGGGTCGAGGGCCGGCTCCACTCAGTCCTCTTACTCCTCTAAGTGGTCGACTTTCCAACGCTGGTGTCTGGACCATGGGACGGACCCGGTCACCTCTCCGCTGTCGGCGGTGCTTTCGTTCTTCCTGTTGCTCATGGACGGGGGGGCTGGCGTTCAGTACAGTTAAAACCTACACTGCTGCTATTTCGTCCTGTCACGAGGGCTTCGGGGACAGGACTGTGTTCCCCCATCCCCTGGCTGACGCGGCCTGTTGCCCCACAGTGGGATTTGCCGCTGTTTACGCGCCTTAACCCAAGCCCCGTTTGAGCCTTTGGATACGGCGGATCTGGGATTCCTTTCAGCTAAGGTCGCCTTGCTTCTGGCTCTGACATCGGCCAAGAGGGTCAGCGATCTGGCTGCCCTCTCTGTGGCTCCGTCGTGTCTCAAGATTCAGGGCGACGGCAGCTCAGCTGTTCTGCGCCCTAACCTGGCGTTCATGCCTAAAAGCATTGCGCGCAACTCCTTTCGGTCGCGGGTCATCACCCTCTCGGGTTCTTTTCCTCCCCCCCATGGGTCAGTGGAAGACACCATGTCCCACCTCCTCTGCCCGGCGCAAACGCTGTCCTGTTATGTGGCGCGCACGGCCACCTGGCGCCGTTCGCAGCATCTGTTTGTGCACTACAGGGAGTGGTCCAAGGGACTTCCCCTGACAGCGCAGCGCCTGTCTCACTGGCTGTGTAATGCCATTTCCGAGGCTTACATGTCTGCCGGTGAATCCACCAGAGGTGTCTCCTCCTCAGTGAGATGGGATGACAGTGGACGGCGGCCTCCTGGTCGTCCCCATGGACTTTCATCCGTTTCTACCTGCGGGATGTCTCCCTTTTCCATCTGACTCACTCAGTACTGAGTGTTTTGGTTGAGTGAATCTCCTTGTGAGTGTGCCCTTTCCCATGGGATGGTTGGGGGGGGTGCTCATGTGGCCCTTGGCCTCCCATGCCCAATGCCGCTGTCAGCGGGCGACTGGGTGGCTCATTATGGCTCTGGGCAGGTGAGTTGTGCTTGGTGGTACCGTATGGGCCAGTGAGGCGTTGACTCCTCCTGCTTCGCCAAAGAGCAGACATAGGAGAGGCCCACGCTGTGGGTGGTCGTAGACTAGAATTCTCAGTGCGCGGCACGGAAGGGGTAAACCCAATAGCGATAGCCTTAGAGGGCTGCGCCTATACTCATAGAATCCGGGTTACAGTACGTAACCCCTGTTAAGTGTGACACAATCGCATTATAATATTCAGTCCAGCTCACTAACCGTTTCATTATCATCCAATACATGTAGCTGTGCTGACATTGCTGAGCCTCCAGCGACAGATTCACAGATAGTAAAGATAGTTACTGAAAAGCAGCAGGCGAGCTAATGATGTAGCACGTCGGCTAAATGCAGTAAATGTAACATTATCATGTAACGTGCATGGATTAGTTCTGCATGCAGCTGATAAAACTATTACTGTAATGTTGCAGTGGGAGTTTACCTGAGTTTCCAGCTCTGTCTGTTCTCCCTGTCACGCTGCCTTTTTTCGGGAGTATTGTGCCGATATGTGGCTCGCTGCGCTGAATGAAAGGTACGGCGCCAGTGTTGATCTGGCTCTGAGACAGGAACGTTGAAGTAACAGAACCTGAACATGTCTGAAGAAAACCCACAGCCAGCATGCTGGTGTTCCTCCGTTTATTGTGGTATTTCTGTATGAAAGTGGTTGTGTTTCGGATTAT